AATGCTGTTGGATGAATTTTATCGTCGCCTTTTTTCGTAAGGTTAGTCCGTTATAATTTGATACGAGTATGTTTGCGTGGAATTACCGCTTCATATAAATTGTTGTAATAAATAAGTATGCGTTAACAAAGCCAGTAACTATGGGAGAAAATCCTGCAAATGAGGCTTGCGAATTTGTTCTCTAATTACGCACAATTAGTAACAAGAAATCATAATTTGTTCCAATGAATCTCATAATGTACAAGAAATATGTTTTAGTGTGTGATTATTCAAATACCGGGAATTAATTCCATCCACGCTAATTAAAATTCTAATAATGAAATTAAGTTGCTCTGTTTGATAGTTTCCGATAAAGTGCCGTTTGAATAAAATTTAACACTTCAGCGCAAGTTATAATTTAAAACTGTTCATAAATTGTTTTATGTTTTGGTTTTCATTCCGTTGTGGCAGCACTCAAACCAGTTTTTGCAGAGTAAACAATCACGTGATTGCGGATACACTCACCGCAAGGCTTCATCGACGCAGTAGAACTAGCATACCTATAAAATACTTTCACATAATAGTAACGTTCTTGGCACACCGGCTTTGTCCACTCTATTGTCGACCATCCCATACGTATTCTCTTGAAAAAACAAACACTTTTAACTCGAATTAATATTGTGTTGAAACCGTAACATTGTAACAGTTTTTAAATATCCAACTCGACACCACAAATTCCACAAAACATAATTTTTTATTTTGTCGTTCTTCGTAACTCAGCGGTTGCAAAAATGTTTTCATGTTTTATTATTCGGGTGGCAAACTTGTGAATACGGGCCTGTACGCCGACAATGTTTTAAAGAATTTGTCATTGAAACGTTTCGGTGTTATTAAAACATAATCAACCGCGGCTCACTTTCAGTGCTAAATATCTATCTATGTAACAACAATAACGAATACATTAAGAGGCAAAGTTCAATAACGTGATTAATATTAATAACAAGACCGCGATAGACCACAAGCCGTTGTATACAGGGTGACTCACGTATAGTCGCCCACTGCTTATCTCCTTCATTTAACGGATAACTGTCACCATTTTTGAGAAAACAGAATAATTGCATGTTCTCGCTGCATAATTATTAATGAGAAGTGCCACTTGTGGAACAGCTTTTAAACTCGACTGACACAAAAATCTCATATAAAAACTCCAAGAACAGGATGGAAGATATGTAAACACTTGGAATCAGTTACACAAAGCATACAAAAACTATTTAAAAAAACAAAAATGTATAACATCTTTTTATGTATAGAATTTTGCAGTCCATATTTTTAATGCTGGGTTTTGTGCATAACTGCAATTAAAAAAGTGGATTATTGAATTGAGGGAAACCATGGGCTTAGGAACTTCACGAAGATCTGAAAAAATTTAAATTCAAAGGGTGTTTTTAAAATAATCAGTTCGATGAAACAAAATAACAGTTTTTTCGTTTACTCTTTAAGGAACAATTGGAAATCTTTTTTATTTAATATCCGAGAGAACTCTAAATTCTTTTTAGAAATAAGTCACACTTAAATTGTGGTAACGTTTTTATTTAGCAAAATACGTACGTTAATTGAAACATCGTGAGTGATTTTTGCTAAAAGAATAATACTCCTAAAAATTAACTAGGGTATATCCTGCATAATTTGGACGCAGTGTATTTATACAGTAGCGAAATGTGTGTTTTAGATCTGTGCATGAAAATCTTATTGCTAAATATTATTGATACAGGATTAAATTTAGCAAGAAGCGACGCATTTAATTTCAAAGATCGGTTCTATTTTCTTGACAATGGTTTTTGTATGTATGTATCACTTGGATTAAAATTATATACTATAAAAAATATTTATACTTTTTTAATAAAGAATAAGGTTAAGAGACTGTAATTGATCGAATTGACCCGTTCGGGTGGAAACGTTTAAAAAATAACAAGAAAAACCAGAAAACTTTATGTTTATGAGTAATTGCGCCAAAGGTATATCACAACTGTATAAAACCGATTCGTACGTCAAACATTTTGTGCTGAATGCGTGTAGCAGCTTTCAAAATTGGGTGAAATATTATAAATCAAGCATTTTTATATCAAAAACGTACATCTGTTTATAAGATAGTGGAACTTGCGGATTCTGTGTAAATAAATATTGTACACTTTTCTTGGTTTTTTTGGAAATCAATATTTTTCTTGGCTCGGTGTTTAGATTCACTCCTGAATATTAGATTATAACCAGCAGGGGGCGGTGCATTTAGGTTCTAAGATTATAAACGCTGAAGTCTAATTCTCGTTCTCAGGTAAAAGATTTTAATCGGCGCAGTTGGAGTACATCTGGCACCACCAGCGGCTGATATTTATAATAAAAATAAATAAGGTAATCGAAACAAATATTTGTGTTAGACTTGAGGGATCGATCTACCTAAACAAAAAAAATATTATTCTACTTTAAAAATAAATGCGAAGAAATTTTGAATTTTAAAGTAAATTGCACTGGAGCATGCTACAAAAACAAATATTTTCGTTCACTTTTTTTATAACATATTAACAAATTAACTTAAAAAAAAGTTCACACGTTTTTTAAGTTAAATGCGACTATATAAACATTCCCGCTCCGAGACAGCATCGTATTTGTTTTTTAGGGCCAGCTATAGCTGCTTTTTTGTGAACGAAACTGGATTCAATTGGGGAAGTGGTACTCCACCACTGAAATGATAAAAATCTGGGGGGTCTACACATATGCAAGTTTAGCTAGAGTATATTAAAAAAACATGATATTTGGACTTATGCAGTGAAGAGTCTAAATAATGTTGATTTATTTTTTTGATCAGTAAAGGCAGATGAATACATTGAACGCTATTTTAGAAAGTCATCAACAACCTTACTATATAACAGCATACGGTAGTTGCAAGTCAATACTGTTAATGACCTGTACCTACGCAGAAAATTCTATGAGCGTGAAACACAATATTATTATAAAAGTTCCTGTTAAAGACGAATCGAGGGTACATGACAATAACACACGAATGTTAAAGTGCTTATCTGAAATTATTTTAAATAATTATGCAGAATTGTTATCGGTATTTAATAATTTAATATTAAACTAATAATTGGTTCCTTTGTGTTACAATACAAAGTATGACTTGTCTATAAATTGACAAATGTTTGGTTACCCGCTCAAAGCCGCTGAAGTTCAGACATCGAAAAACCCAAACCCCCAACCAGACTCATCCAGATTTCTGGCATCACCGTCCATCGCCGGCCAACATTTCCGACCCATCTCCGTCACTATCCATTTATTTTCCTCCTCATTTCGACACCAACAATAAACAGACAATTCCAACATTCAATTAATTCGCATGTCATTTATTTATAAAACCCATCCATCATACATGCGGTCCCATAAACACTACCAAAACCGACCTAATAACCCTCACGTACATTTCCACAAATACACATTTCCTTCGTCACCCAAAAATAACACAATAAATTCAATACGTAATAAAGTACGCACGAGGACTGCGAATTCCATTAGAAACTAACAAATTCGAATAAATATTTTAGCGGGATGATAAACACGGAATATTATTTATCGACTCTTCGCACCCTAGACACCCTCAGTTCATTTGTTTGTCACTGTCGAAGCGTGTTAAACAGATTTATTTTTACAGTGGCGCCGAAACAGGAGAATAAACAAACATGGGGGTCAGAGAGAGATGTAAAACAGGAGACGCTGCTCGAGACGGCTGCACTCACCCCACGGTGCACCCTTGCAAGGGGATAAATAATCTGTGAAACCTTATAAAAGGGATGCAGAGATGATCGAAGGGGGGGTGAGTGGATGACGAAACTGTACAAATGGTAGTTTTATTTTGAACAGACGACGGATTATCGTCTAGTTATGTTATAATTTGTAATAAAAGACGAAACGAATGTAAATATAAATGGTAAATGACCGTTAACAGCTTCCTATATAATAATAATTTAGCAGTATGATTTTGTGGTAAACTTCCGGGTGATATTAGAACATGTTTCAGTTGTAAACTATATATTAATTTTTTTCTGAAGAATAAATGGACGTTCCTTAAAACAACATTAACAAAGAAAGTTAGATTGTTGAACCTACCGTTTCTATTGGCACAGGCTATATCCATCCATACGATATTCACATAAGCACTGCATTTTTTCGGCAATTCTAGTATCTAATGCTTTCTTTATTTTAATGCCAAGTTTTTAACATCTTTATACATTATTTGTCAGCTGATAACCAAATTAGTAGGTGTGATTTTAAGTTAATTTGCTTGTATTATTGTTAGATTTTAGTTTATGACATTTTAATTCAGTGACGGTCTAAAGCGGATGATTGATGTGAGTTACGCCCCCGCAATCATGTAAATTTGACCTACACGGTGATATTTAAAAAATCCCAATAACCTTGTACCTAAAAAACTGATGTTGCAAAACATATAAAAATGCATACTTTTTGATTCAAATTTTTCAAAGTTTACGCAAAATGTCAGGGATTTGCGTCAAACAATTTTAAAAATATTATAAGATATTCCATGCTTTTGATCAATGCTGTACAATGTACATACTGTTGTCAAATACAGTAGCGAAGATCTTAGAATTAGTGTTCTCTAATTATTATTTTTTCAATTTAAAGATATGCACAAAAAAAAACTAATATAATGTTCGCTTCATACAAAAGTTAAAATTTTGAACTTGGTTCATGTTGTATTTATCTATGCAACCAAGAATACAGAGTTCATCAACACGACCCAATTCCACTCATCACCGCGTCCGTTTATTTACACCCAACAATCACAGCGCTTCCACATTACTTCTATTTATTATTTATAATAAAATTTTGTGAGAAACGATCTTCTACTGACAGCATGTGTCATAAACAATTTTTCGAAGCCGGCACTTCACTGATAAAACGATTTTTACATTTGTTTATTGTTTGTCATATTTTTTAACCGTGCCTAGACGAAAGATTCTATCACTTTATTTATAAATAATGTACAATTCAGGAGTATTAATTACAATAAATAATTAAGTCCTGCAAACTTTCCACAATCACCAAAATTGAAAATAAGTCTTTTATGGCATCACTGTTTAAATAAACAATCTCGTGAATTGCTTAACAAACACCGCTAGAACTAGAAGGAAATAATTAAATTTTAAATTCTCATCTCCACTCCCTCGCAAGGAAAAACTATCGATCACGTGAATTTTCCACCCCATGTTAGGTTGGGTGAAAGAGTTGTAGTAAACCGTATCCGGCCACGACGTATTAGGGGTGAATTCCAAAATTCCAGGATCGCCCTCTTCACAAGTCGTCACTAAACTGCGATTAAACTTCCTAAAACTGGGAAAATCGTCATCCAGACGACGATCCATCATGTCTTTGTGTTTTGCCAAACATAAAGGTCCCGCTGCAAAAACAAGTGGAAAGTGAAACTCGAGCGCAGCGAGTTCGAACCTCACCTGCTATAGGTCTTGGTCTTCCTCTTCTCGAATACTCCACCCCGGCTAACACCCTAATTTTTGACTGCGCTTCGTCCGAAAGCCTATCGAAACCTCCATGACGATCATCCGTGATGATCATAGGGTGGTAAAATTCCGCACTGTGGGGGTTGTTGCCTCCGTACACCCTAAAGGCGTAGGTCAACCCTCTCCTTAACCACAATTCCGGCGCTAGTAACCCGTTGATGTACCATGCTAGAGCAGTGGACGTTTGACCTGTGGTACCTTGGTAACCCCTTTTACCACCAGATGGACCTAAATAGGCTTTAAAGGTACGAATGGTCTTGTCGTAGATTTGACCCTTCGACCATGGCTCACGCAGTTGGGTGTCCGAACGCGTGAACGAAAAGCAATTAGATGTGGGTTCTTTTGGGTTGAACTCTACGCTGATGTTCGACTTAGGGTAGATGTCGTGGAAGGTGGGTTCGTTGTTATGGTCGAGGCGACCTAGAGCCCATATTATGTACGCTGAACCTTCAGTTGGAAATACTTGGTCCCCAGAATCAGCTATAAGTTAAAGTTATGCAATTGGTTATACACACCGGGGTGTTTTGACCCACCTGAAATTAAAGATCTACGATACGTGATGATATTTATACCGTTTTCTCTAGTTGCGGTGTGCATCTGATTACTGTCCTGTCCACCAACTAATTCGTCCTTACATACTCCTTTATACTGTCCCAGAACTTTAACACACTACTTGTTTGTAAGTTTTGGATTGGACGAAATTTTTAGAACTTACGGGTGTTAAAGCTGTGATGTTATAATCACTTGCAAAACCACGGTAGCCGTCTAGGTATGCAATAGTGACGTCAGACCCCACCATTTGACTCTTTTCCGTAGAACCGGAGAGACCAAAAGCCATATACTCATCTTCGTCTACTTGTCCAGCGAGTTGGATGGTCATTTGGTGACCGAAAATTTCCCAAGAGACTTGGAAGTCTTTGTGGAGTTGTAAACAGTTGGGAAGGTGGTGTTTGTGAGGCTAAAAATAAAAAGAAAAGAGAAAATGTGTGAGCGAAGCGAGTGGCTGGTGCTAATTTTACTATACGTATTGTGGTAACCGAATTTGAATCAAAATTTTTGCCCTGAAATTAATTAACAGCGGCGCGAAACGGCATTTTAGTTAGAGGTTAGAGGGTTGGTTATTAGACAGAGGGCAGCATGCCGAAGCGTCAGTCTGGATGTGTTTTTGTGAGTGTAATCACGTGGTAAGGTAGTTTTGGTTAGTTTAGTTGATTTGGTAATTAATAAAAGGGAGGAAGCCTTTGTTTAACGACAATCAATCGTAACTCATATGATGACACAGTTTACGTGCTGTAAATTTGTTATATTGTTTGTAAATTCACCAATCAAGTTACATTTTCTTAATCGTCAGCAGGTGCTAACACAATTTAACAATCAGGATTATTTAAATAAACCACTTGCTAGAAGAGTTCATGAAATTCACTTAGTCAGGATAACACCTTTGTTGTTTAATTACGAATAAATTTCTGGATGCATATACGTAAGTGTTACATTATAACGCTTCTTAATTCTTCACACAAGATTGCTAATAGTTCATTTACGGCAGTTAAAATTCATATCGCGAAATGACTGGAGGTTAAAATAATTTCTTCCCTTATCACCGTTATTATCATCGTTATCATGATTACATCACCGGGGCATGCCCTCACAACGCTAAAGATTGATTACTTCATCGAGGCATGTCCTCGCAATGCTAGAGATTCATAACATCAACGAGGCATGTCCTCGCAACGCTAGAGATTGATAACACCATCGAGGTATTTCCTCGCAACGCTAAAATTTTACATCATCAAGGCATTTCCTCGTAACGATAAAAATTACATCACCGAGACGCTTTTTCGTCGCAACGATGATTGGATATTTTTGTGTTTATTTATTATGTGTTTTGTTGGGGTAACTAGTTCGCGGTATTCTAAACTCTCAAAGTAAATTGTTTTTGTTAACTTTGCAAATTTTCACCTCATACAATATTTCTCTATCTCACAATTTTAACTTCAGTAATTTTCTTTGTTGTGTAATTTTCATTGAACGTAAATTTCATGCTCTACTGTTTTAACCTCACATAATATTTTTATTTGCACAAATTTATTTCACACCAGATCTTTTATTTTTATAAATCATTGCTAGTTTTGTTTCGTAAATATTTTGTTGATGAATGTTAGATGATTTGATGTCCAGTTTTAATCTCGCATAAGAATTATTTGGCGAATTTAATTGTTGTTTATTGCTCTTTTGAAACTGTAACACTTGTTCAGTTGTCGACAATATTAGAGTCAAAAGAAATTGAACATTTAAAAAATGGAACTGTGGTTAAATAACACCGAAACACGTAGCAGAAGCGGCGCGGCTCCTAGTGGGGGCTAGCGGGATTTGGTGCGCCATCTGCACAAGGGGTGCAGGCTTTGTACAGAGTCAGTGGGAACGGTCTGGACGACCTGAAGCTGTCAGTTTTGACGGCATGTTCGTCATGGAGATGTGTTGTGTGGTAGGCTTGCCGATAGATAGAATGACCGTCGAGGGGGAGACCAGCCCGGACCGGGAGCCCCAAACTCCGCTTATGCTAGAACGCCCCAGGGGTAGTTTTGTTGTGCTCCTGTTAACTGCCGTAACTTTAAATTTGGCGCCACACGCCCGTAATAACTTGTGTATTTGCATCCAGTTACTTTAATTCAGATTTTGCTTCGCTTTTATTAAATTTGTGATATTCAAATATTTGCATTGATTCCAAACATATGTGTAGGATTTTGTGTTTGTTCGGTTTTCATATGTGTATGTCTATCAATTCACGAATGTCTTTTCTTTCATATTTTTAAGGTGATTGAAATGTAACATGTCTGTGAATATAACCACAGGGGGTTTTTAAGGCTGAGGAGTGAATGCTCGCAGCTCTTTTCCTCCTAGAGAGGGGGTGTGAATTTTAGCTCCCTCCCAAAAATTTTGTCTATTATTTCTTGCGCTCTCGACTCACACGCAGTGTATGCTCACTTGTATGAAAGAACGTCTTCCCGCCATTTAAAAAAAAAAATAAATAAAACACAACGTAGGTTTTCATTTTGTTAGACGATCACAGCCAAGGCCAAATTTTGAATTTTTGAATTTTTCGCGAGTCTTTCAAATTTTTTCAGGGTCAATTTAAGACGGGAAGTTTGGGTTATTACAGTATATAACATAAAAAATAACATACGAAAACTTTAACCAACGACGGCGGCACGTTTAGTCCATCAGGTATGATAATAGATCCCAAATTTTGGTTGGTTTCGAGGTCAAATATACTAAACCAGTCTATATTAAAAATAGATAAGTCTCCTGGTAGCTCCAACGTAATAGTTTCTCTCTTATATTCCCTCAAATGATCTAAACTAAAAATAAAAATAATTATTCGTATTAGACAACTAGCTATACACCAATGCCACTTACTATCCGTACTCATCAGGAACTTTGTGCCCTTTCGACACCGGTTGGGCTCCCACCCCCACCCAAAAATGCGCCCTTTTCGCCTTCCCGTCATACTGAAACTCATTCAACTTCAGTCTTTTTGCATCCATAATCTCGATAGCTCCGGAAGACACCGAATGGGATTTTCCCGCTAGCTGCGGGATTTTCTGCACAGTCGGTGGCTCAAATTCCTCCGGGATGTAAATGTCGCCGAAAGTGTTCTGACTGAGCAAGTCGTAAATGGCGAACCACTTGATATCGGTTATTTTCTTGTTGTCTGGAAGAGTAAGAGTGAAGTCTTTTTGAAGGTAGCGCCCCAAGACGTTGGTCCTAAAAACGTTTTCGGTTATTTTTTTGACGAAGATGAGGAGCGGAAGATGTTACTTTCCGTATTCATCGGGAACGATGAATCCTTGAGGTCCGGGTCTGTTGGAAGCGCCCGCCCAGAAGAAGGTGTCGGCACCGTTGCCATCGTAGCCGAAGGCTGTCAGGAGAAGGGTGTATTCGTCGACGGCGTAGATTTCACCGTGGACTTCATGGTGGTAGGAATTGAGTTTTCCGATGTGTTTGCCTTTGTAAGGACCTTCGTCGTCTTCTTGACATGAAGCTAAAAACAATCCGAATATAGGTGACTCGAAAATTACTAAAAATTTTAAAGATTTTTGACGTAGCAGTTGAGAGATCTGTAGACAACAATGTGTAATAAAGGTGCTCAGATGAATGAACAATGAATATGTTGTACTTTAAGAGTAAGATACTCATATTTTGTAGATTTTTTTAAATGTGATTAATCTTGAAAGAAAAAGGACCAAACAAATTTAAAACAGCATACATTTTTTTCCGTGAATAAAATGATTTTGTAATTCATTGTAATATTTTAGACAAATGTTTTGATCAGTTTGAATCACTGGGACTACACAAACAGCACAAACAAATAAAGAGTAAGAATTTAAAATAAAAAACGACAACAGTTGAGCGTGTACCTACTAGAGAAAAATTTTCATGTCCTAGATAAAGCCAAACTTTCCTTATACGTTACAGAAACAGAAACAGATGAGCATCTCCTTATATGTTTTTATGGATATGGAGAAATCATTTGATATCATGTTATAATTGCAATTACTAAACTATCTAAATTTGGATTTTAAATGTAAATAAATTATTACATGCAGTCTAGCGAAACCGTGACTAGATAGACGAACAAAATCTTCTTTAATTTTACAAAATCGCAAGGGCCGGTCTAACATGATTAATTATAATATAACACAAGAAATAATCGTACGGCCCACTTTATTCTCTTTCTATATTAATGATCTCTTTATTTTGTCAAAATGAATTGAATTACATTTAACACTTTCATCGATTTAGTAAATAATTTTTGTACCTTGAATCAAAATTACATACAAATATTTCCACTAAAAAAACCAATAATACATATAAAATATTTAGAGTAACAATCGTATCTAACACATCTGTGTTTTTTTAAATGTCTTATGTCATGTGATTTTTGTAATTTCTGCTCTAGTTGACAATGGTACGTTAGCAGTGCAATTGAAGGGGCCGATGTAAGCATCATGGCCAACTAGAGAAGAAATTAAAAAAAATCACTCGATTAAAAATAAGGAAAATATTTATATAACGTAAGTATGACACTAAAGGTTTAAAAATTTTATTTGTGTCAAAAAGTCTAGACCACTGTCATTTAAAAAACAGAGTTTTTAATAACTTGTCAAGTTAGCTCTTTTAATACCACTAACTTTATACAGGGTGAGTCACTAAGCTCCAAGCACCAAAGTTGTACGGTTCTTTAAGGATTATACACTAAAATTATTTTTAATTATATTTTCCTTTTTTTAATGTACATAGTATTCTTTGAACAACACGAACTCAAAAACATGTTTATAATTTCTTGTAAAGACATAAGTATTTTGCAGTTAAGCTCCGCCCTCGAAGTTCACAGCGAATAAAAAAATCATCACAATTGCGATAGGGCGGGTGGGCGGGCCTACATTTTGCCTTTTTGTATTAATATGTGTAGACTCCTTTTCACAACAAGAAACATGTTTAAAATGGTAAATTTGTATAGCGAAATATCGATTTTGCAATTACGCTCCGCCCCTCGGTCTGAGTACGACTGACATCGAGACGGAAGGGTGGGGCTTTTGGTTTTCTTGTTTTAATTAACACATTTAGTTTTCTTGACATGACACAAGTACTTAACAACATATTTCATATGGTAATTTCTCGTGGAAAAGTAAGAATTTTACAATTAAGCTCCGCCCCTCGGTTTATGACGAATACAAAAAATCATCCGAATTGAGATAGCGCGGGTGGGTGGGGCTTATATTTTGCCCTTTTTTTCTAAATGTGTGTAGTCATCTTTTCACAACAAGTAACTTCAAACATGTTTAAAATGGTAAATTTGTATAGGGAAATATCGATTTTACAATTAAGCCCCACCCCTCGGCTTAGGACCAATAAAAAAATCATCAGAATTGAGACAGGGCGGGTGGGCGGGGCTTATATTTTGCCTTCTTTTTATTCATATACATAGCCATCTTTTCACAACAAGAAATTTAAAACATTTTTCTTTTTTGTTTTAATATGTGTAGACTTCGGTTTTGCACTTTTTCGATTTTAAAATCTTCCACTTTCTAATCTTTAGATTTTTCAATTTTTCGTTTCTTCAATTTTACAAGTTCTTGATTTCCAATTTTTTAGATTTTTCAGTTTTTATTTTATACTTTTTCGTAGAGTCATTTTTGATTTTTCAATTTTACAATTTTGCAATTTTTTCATTTTTTTTTATTTGGAAAGTTGAAAAATCGAAATATTGAAAAATCGAAAAATCAGAAAACCGAAAAGTCCAAAAATAAAAAAAAAGGGAAATCCAAACAACAAACGATCGAGAAGTCGAAAAATCGCAAAATTATGAAATCCAATTAGGCCAAAATCTAAAAATCGAAAAGTTGAACATTGAAAAATTTAAAATAAGGAAAAATCGATAAGTAAATCGAAATGTAAAAAAATTGAAAATCGAAAAATTGACAAACAAAATTGAAAAACAAAAAAATATCGAAGAACTGAAATCGAAAAATCTCGTAATCGAAAAACCTAAAATTTTAAAAAATGAAAAGCTGAAAAATGTACAAATTAAAAAGTTGTAATTGAAAAATCGAAACACTGAGGAATTGAAAAACTAAAAAATCGAAAACATTGAAAAGTCGAAAAATCGAGGAACGGAAAAATCAAAAAATCAGATAATATAGAAATTAAAAATTCTAAAAATTGAAAAATCGATAAATTTAAAAAACGGAAAATTGAGAGTCGAAAAACTGAGAAATCCTAAAACTGAAACATCAAAATTCTAAATCCACAGAAAATTCTTGTATATTTTGTATATCCTCGTATATATATAGTCCTGGATCAAAATTTTAGGAATTTTCGGTTTGATAGTAATTTTTTTTTATTCTAAAAAATCGGCATAATTCATTGGACGATTGTGGAAAGACGCTACTAGGTTTATCGAAAAAATGGAGGTGAGACCTTCAAAATTTGACGTCTACAAGAAAAGCCTTTGGGAAATTTTTGAAATTCGTAAAAAAGTGTCGAAATTTTCATATTAAAAATTTGAGCTTTGGAAAAGTTATCTAAAAATGCACAAAAAATTCAGGGATATAACTCTCGACATACTGATTCGAAAAATGTGGACTGTCTATAGTCCCGGAGCGAAATTTCAGAAATATTCGATTTAAAATTCAATTTTTTTTTAAATCCTAAAAATTGCTATATTTCAACATTCTGGAAAAATGGTGGAAGATTTTACAGAAATGAGAAAAGTAACTTTTAGAGACCGAAATCTACAAGAAAATGTCTTTGGATAATTTTCTAAAATTGTTGAAAAGGTTCAAAATTTCCATAAAGGGGAAATATTGAAAATTTGAGCTTCAAAAAAGTTGCTCAAAAAAAAAACAGGGGTATAGATCTCAATGTACTGATTCGAAAAATACAGCGTACGTATTTATAGTCCCGGAGCAACGTTTTAGAAATATTCCGTTTTAAACTCTTTTTTTTAATTCTAAAAATTGACATATTTCATCGAGCAATTTCTTTCTTATAATTTACAACGAAATTTTTTAATAATTGTGTGTATTTTGGTAAATACTGTGTCTCCCGCGACTTTGAAACCATTTCCTCTGACGCAAATCCTAATCTCCCAACTCCCGATTGATTAATAACCCTCATCATCGGCGCCCGAAACCGTATAGTGTTCTATTTTTAAGGCTTTTTTAAATAAAACACCCTATATAACTTTACATATTTTGATTGACCTTTTCTTAGTCTTTACAAGCAACAGTTTGCTTTTGAAATTTCGCTGCGACGTTGCCACGTTATTTCAACTTTCTTGAAATTTTTTAGAAATGGAAGCGTTCACAAAAAATATCGCAACAGACTTCTTTTTAAAGTCTGTTTTACAATATTGTGTGGAAGAATAAATAAATGTACACACTATGTTGTGGTGTCAACTAATTCAAATTTTAGAATACAGAGTGTTTATAAAAAAAAATCTAAAACTTTATAATTTTCGAATATCGATATATCAGTTTTTCAGACGAAACACCAGTATTTTATTATTGTATCTTACTATATTTTTTGTCCTCATTCTTCTAATATGGCGATGTGTCCCATAAAAAAGTTAAAAAATTTTGCATGAACTGTCTAAACCAAAAATAAAATAAAATGCAGTATTAAATATAGGATGTTCTATTTGAAAAAACTGAAATATCGATATTTGAAAATTATAATAACTATTTTTTTTTATAAACATTGTATATGAGAATTTAATCTATTTTATACGACAACAAAATGCGTCCTTTTCGTTATCTTGCCTTCCATTGCCAAAGAAATTCAAAACAATTGAAATAACGTGGCAACTTAGCATGATAATTTCAAAAACGAACTGTGTAAAGCCTGAGAAAAGAAAAGTCAAAATATCTAAAGATATACAGCGTGTTTCATTAAAAAAATCACTGTGTATAGTTAAAAATAATAATTTTAGAGTATAGTCTTCATTGAACCGTACAACTTTGGGTTTTGACTCTATTTCTAATAATTAAAGGCATGTCGAGGAATACGAGTGACCCAGCCTGTATATTGAAAACTTCCAACCATTCAAGTTAATTAATAATAAAGTAATTAATAACAAAACTAAACCAAAGAAAAATGAAGCACAAGAAACTTAAAAAATCATAACTTAGGGAAAACGTACAAGTTGTGGAAAAAACAAAAAATTGATCTAAAGTTATTTCGACATAAATTTCCTTGTTTTTGAAACACAGTCAGCCGAGTCTAGTTTCTAAATAAATTATGAAAGTTGATCCTGCAAATTTTGGTTTATGTATTTATTATTTTTTTAATAACACCCACATATTAAAATCAAAAGTAGTTATGTGTTCCCATAATTTCGTAAAATTAGATTTTATATTCAATTAATAAAATCTTGTATAAACAAATCTATACAATAAAAATATGTTATTAATGCGGAACAACATTACATCTCGGAGCAGATTTTTAACAACCATTTATTTAATAATTGTCACGCTAACGTCATCAACTTTCTAGAAGTGAATAAATAAATCGTTGCTTTGTAATCAATAAATCAAAGTTACGCTCGGTGGGTAAAAAAGAATAGAATCAAAGAAAAAATTAGACTTCGAGACTAAAAAGTATATGAAAACCACTTGGTGTAGACAAAATTAATAAAAACAGGAAAAACAAATAAACATTGTACTTTTTCACTGAGTGTGCAACAATAAAATACTAAATCAAAATCAGTATTTTACCAAACTTTTGAAAAAAATTAGTAATGAAAAATGAATGTCTGAGACAAACTCCATATTATAGATACCTACTGAAAAATAAAAATATATTTCAACATTGAAGGTGAAAAGCCAAATTAAATAGAAAATTGTGATCAACGTTTCACTATTTTTATGATAATTATAATTTAAATAGATCTAAAATTTCAGAAAAATATTACTCCTGTATATTATAACAGATTAATAAATTAGATTAAACCTAAAAAAATATTGTTATTTCATAATTATTTTGTAAAGCCATAATTAGCAGGACAATCGTTTGCCTGAAAAATGTGTTTTAAAAAATGGAAAAGTAGGTCCTTGAAATATCTGGGTATTACAAAAATTTTAATTGAATCATTTATTATAAGCCAAGAAAATATATAAAATATGAAAGCTGGGGCAGACAATGTGCACACGACCAGCATACTGATGAAAGAGCAAAATTCTTCAAAAGGGAACGGTGGTGGCAAAAAAATAACAACGAATACCGTAAGTAACGAAATGAATGGTAATAACCTTGAAAGGAAGAAAAAATCTTATAAAATTTATTAAGATGAGAGAAGATGATATCTAATGGTAGCACGAAAAAAAAAAAAACAGATGTGGAAATAGAATCAAAGAAGCTGAAGGAGTGATGACTTATTGCCTAAAGAGCGTAAAAGAGTCGAAGTTGAGATAAATTAGTATAAAGTTCACGCTAATTTAACCTTTCTATAAAATAATAATAAAAAAGCATTTTACCCTACTTTACAAAGAGAAATAATTCTCGTTCACTCTCGCGGAAGTGGAGTAACTGTTACTCTTCGCAGTGACCTTCAAAAAGTCAAAATATTAACTTGAGCCGGTACTGTTAGATGATTTCATCCAACTCTAAAAATACAACATATTTGTTCAAAAGTACACTCATACACTTCCTAGCTCATCACGAATCGACCTTCTGCCCCTCGGTGACTCAAACACCCACAAACCTCCCATCTGTCACTCGAATTTCCACTCCTCCACCCACACCATCACCTCCACCCTCACCTGAGCCCACCAAAACGGCCACAAGCACCACAATCAACATCTTCACTTGAACAACTTGCACCGTTTTGGCATTTTGTCGCGATTTCACGCCGACATACTCGAGCTCTTACAACTTTCTACTGTCTCTTGCAAGGCTGCACACGTTCCTCGGCCTCGGTCGACGTCCCCAAGACCGGGAATTTCAACAGTGGATCAAGCGCCGAGCGAGTTTGATCAATAAAAATGGCTCGCAAGCCCGTGATGATCAATCGCGGTCAGAACCACGTCACTGTTTCTTGGGAAAACGTCGACGAGTTGCAGGGGGAGTGCGTCTTGGAGGTGGTAGACGAGCTGAAGAAGTGGGCTGTGGTGTATCGAGGGGAGAAGAAGGAGGTCAGAGTTAAAGGGTTGGCGCCGTGCACTTGCTACGATTTTAGGGTTAAGAGGGTGGACGGGGAGTGGGTGAGTTTCAAGGGGGCTACAAACGAAGGACCTTTTTTGGTTATGCACTTGTCGAGGGCGGTGAAGGTGGGGAAGATGGCCTTAGTGAGGAAAATTGCGCATGCGAGGCCTCTGCTGCTTGAAGTGGAGAATAAGGAGATGAAGACGCCGTTGAGGCTAGCTGTGGAGAAAAATGATGTTCAAATGGTCGGTTTGTTGATTACGTTGGGGGCGAATGTTAATACGAGTTCGTTGTACAAGAAGATGAGTCTGCTTATGAGTGCGGTTTCTTTGGGGCACTTGGCTGTGGCGAATTTTTTGGTGGATAAAGGATGTAATGTTAATACTACAGATATCAATGGGCTTAATATTTTACACTACGCTGTGGATTCTGATAATATTGAAAGCGTGAAGTTTGCTTTGAAGCACTGTGGATGTGTGGATTCTAAGGATAGTAATGGATGGACACCTTTATTGCGAGCAGGTGGTTAAAGTAGGTCGAGTGATTAATGTTCTTGTATGTTTCTTATGTTCTGACGTTCTGATGAAACTTTAATTAATGAATAATATGGTAAACATTGAGAACTTATTGCGAGGATAAATTACATGGAATCTGCACGCAATTTGACCATTTACAGCAACATTAATTTAACTAATTAACTAATTACTAACTATAAATATTGCTGAATATAAACCCATTTTACTGACCTTGTTTCATTTTAATTATTGTTGTTATGCACTCTGCACATTTTTTTAATCTCTTAAAAATATGGGTATTTTATATTTTCCTTAAATCACTATTTACTAAAAGACCCTTCGTTATATTTAATTTTAGTGATAACCAAATTAACGAATTTTTTTTATCGATTATGGAAATTTCTTTTCTTGGAATTTTCAGTGTTGATTGCCATGTAGGTATATAATTCCTGTCGGAGGATAAACGCATGAATATGATGAGAAGAGAAATTAACTTTTCAGAGTGGAGACATTAACAATGGCAGTGAAGAATTTTTGGGAGAGCATTGACGGAATTTGTCCTAATTAAGTATAAATTTTAAAATTTAATAAATAATGTCCGTTCATACTTTGAGAAAGATCCATTGGGAGTGTCGGATTGAGGACATGGGGATCCACCGGGAAATTTACAAGTGGGACCATGTGGCATTGTATATAAATGTTGTTTCGGTATTATTACTATTATTATTTTGATTTTGCCGGCGACATTGACGTTTTGAAAAAATTATGTTATTTTTGGAATTTTGATGACGCTACCAAGAAAAACAAAGCTAGTAAAAAAATTTAAGGTAATTTTGATAGAACATCTCTCGCATATGAAGTATAGTCCGACAAAACCCGCTTCTTTAAAAAATTATAAAATTAGATTTCGAGATTTTCGTTTTGTGATAACTGATAACTGTCTTTTTCTACCGCCCACGTTTTTTGGTTTTCTAATAGAGCTATTAACGCACGCAAATGACATCACAGCAGTTCGTTAATAGCGGAAAGGCGTTCTTTAATAGATCTGGTGTAATTTAGATCGGTAAGATTGGTAGCAATGACGAGAAATGTCAGGTGAATGTCAGTGGCAAATTTAAACTTAAAATTTTCCATGTTTCCGGACGCGTAACTTCTTCGCAAGACATTTTAACCAATTTTAAATTACAAAAACTCGAATTGGTTCGAATTACAATTGTTGTTGTGAAAATTCGAACCTCAAATGTTTCGTGGTTAGTGTCAGACCGACCCATCACCAACCACGACAAAAGTCCCCAGATTAAAAAAAATGCAAATTTCAATTAAATTTTGGGAAAAAACGTGTGCGGTAGAAAAAATAGTATAAATAACTCGTTCATAAGGCCATTGAGGCACTCATCCTTTATATAACTCGCGGCTTCGCCGCTCGTTCTATAAACTTGGATTCGTGCCTCAATATTTGCCTTATGAAACTCGTTCTTTAATATACTATTAAATATGAAATAAATTGAAAGCAGATAAGTAATGGGAAAAAATATAGACATTCTCAGTTTCTCAGTATATGCTTAACTTCGACTGTTGACGTTTATACTTCGATAGAATTTGACTTTTAGCATCATCGGTTGAAAAAAATTAAAATTTGGTTGATTTTGTGTCCTCATCGCACAAGAAAGAACACAAAACAATCTTGAAATATCTTCATGATTTCACATGATTTTAACTTTTTGCAGTTTCAAAGTTAAATTATAAAACGTTGTTATACAATGTTGATTTTTTTCCAAAAATCTGGATGCTAAGGGTAAAAAGTCAACACGGATTCATAAATCACACATGCAGGACTATACTATTTTATAAAATTTAAAGAACATTTGTTCGGTAGAATTCTAAGACGACGTCATAATTTTTTGGGCCTTAATCCAACAAATTTTGATTACCGATTTATCGTCTTTCCTATACCCTTAAAACGTTTAAAATATTTCAGTACATTCGCTTTTGCCATTTTAAAGTTAAATTGTAAAATACAATTTTGAATTTTTTCTCAAAAATCTCGATGTCTAGGGAAAAAACTCAACATAGATTCTAAATTACCCATACATGGAATATGTAATTCTACAAAATTTAAGGAACATTTGTTCTGCAGAATTATAAAATGACGTCATCTTTTTTAAGGAGGGTATAAACGCAAAAAATTGATTAACAATTTACCATGCTTACGATAATCTTAAAAAGCTTGCAAGTTTTCAGAACATTCGGTTTTACAATTATTTCAAAGTTCCATTGTAAAATGTTGTTATACAATCTTTATTTTTTTCTCAAAAATCTGGATGTCTAGGGTGAAAACTCGACACAGATTCATGAATCACACATGCTGGAGTATACAATCGTATAAAATTAAATATATATATGTAATACCAAAAAAAAGGGCAAATTAGTTGTAGGTAAAATGGGACGTTTCACTCCACATTTTGTTTCTTAATTTATTATAAGGAATCATGCTCAATCTTTACAAATGTACAACTTTTTAAAAAATAACCTTAAAAATGGGGTGAAATGTTAAAAAAATGCATTAAAAACGCTTCACGTCAAAAACTGACTTTTTTATAAAATAAAAAATCAATAAAAAAACATCGACGTCAAGATTGGCCTGTTTGCTTAAAAAAGAATAATACCTTAAAATAAATGAAAAAACAGGTAAAAAAATAACTTAAATAGATGAAAAAAAAATGTGGGGGGAAACGTACCATTTTACTTTCTACTGATTTCAGTTTAAAAATTTCATCTAAAACGTCCCAGAATCCAATTTTTTTAATGGTCGGCTCTCCAGAAAATGACACTGTTTGATAAGTGTGTATGTAGATTCTTAACGGGCAAGGATTTCCGCATGAAGACTAGCCAATTCCACTAGAAAACTTCAAGAAATCGAATAGTAAAACCGGAAAAAGCTCTCTTGTGGACAGTCAAACTCAAAATTTGGTTTTCGAGTATCGGTTAAAAAAGAATTTCGTTTAGAATAGTGAAAACTTTTAATAGCCGATTCCAAAAAAGGACTCGCTTGGGCAAAATTAGTCTAGAAACTTAATTTCAGGAAGATTGAGACATGTTTATTTTTTGAGGAATTTTTCCGGAGCGATTCCGGTCAAAATTTTCGGGTTTAGGCCAATTCAAACTAATATCTTCACTAAACGTCCCTCGATTTACCAAAAATTAGTCCTGTTCCTAATTTGGACCTCCTGAATAAAAATATGGAGCGAGAAAAATGTAAAAAAGCCACTGATTTTTTTTCTTATTTTAATTTTAATATTCGAGTCTCCCGAAAATTACATCGTCTGATAAGTGTGTATGTAGATTCTAAACGGTCAAAAATTTCGAACTGAAAACCAGCCAATCCGTCTAAAAAAACATCAAGAAATCGAATAGTGAAAATTTTTAAGAACGGATTCCAAAAACGGATTCGGTTGGGCAAAATTAGCCTAGAAACTTAATCTCAGGCAGATTGAAATATTTTTATTTTTTGGGGAATGTTTCAGGAACATTCCGATCAAAATTTTCGGATTTAGGTCATTTCGAGCTAATATATTATAATATATCTAAACGTACCCCGATTTGCCTAAAAATGACTCCTGTTCCTAATTTGGACCTCCTGAATAAGAATATGGAGCTAAAAAAAATGTAGAAGAGACCGTCAGTTATTCAGATGCGAATTAAGATTTGAAATAACAAACAATGCTTTTGGAATCACCAAAATTTCCTCCAAAATCTGGATGTCTAGGATAAAAATTCAACAGGGTTCATAAACAACATGTGCAAGTGTCTCTTATTTTATAAAATTTAAATCATATTTTTTATTATTGTAAATTTTGAAAATGACGTCAACAAATTGTTGGTAGGGATGATTAGCCAAATTTTGATTAGCGCTTTACCATGTACACCATATTCGTAATCCACATATAAAATTTGACAACTGGTTCAGTAGTTTCGGGGATTATCTGTCTAATAAAAATCCGGACAGACGGCAGATAGACAGACAGACAGATAGGTAGACAGCCGGAAACGGGAGACCTATTGTTTCGTACTCAATTTATACTGTAAAAAGATGATCTTATTTAATATTTAAATGTAAATAATTGTATATAAAAAAAGAAGTAGACTGTTTTGGGGCTCACCTGGAAATTTCCCGGTGTCCCGGCGGCACAATTCGACACTGTCCATTAAAAATTATTTTTTTAAACTGTAACAGTGAAATTTGATACAGAAGAAGCAATTAGCTGTCTAGAAAGTATAATTCATAAGATTTTCATAAAATTTCTACTTACAATACAATAATAATTGTTTGATTATATCTATAGAGCAAAATGCGATTTAAAATTAAAATTGTAATTTCGGGCCTTTAACAATAGCAAATCAAATGCAAAATTTGTCTTTATTTTTCTTCGTGAAATAGTTGACTAAGTAATACTTAAATAATATTTAATAAAAATTAACTTACAAACATTTAGCAATAAAAGTAAACAACAATACTTTTTATAAATTCCTTCATACACACCTACAGGTTTATTCTAATTTTTACTTTTTGAGCGTAACGTAAGGAAATACTGTATTGTATTATCGACGTTTCATGACCCCCAGCGCATGAAACAATAGGTCTCTCGTTTGTTGTTTATCGTCCACAATTTATCTAATCATCTCCACCAACAATGTAATGATGTCATCTAAAAATTTTGACTAGTAAATGTTACTGGAATTTTATAAAATAACATAACCTTGATTTTGTTTATTATTGTTATAATTTTTATTTTTTAATCCTTCTTCTCCTCTAGATACATAATACGAAGCTGAATCTGAGCTCATGGCGTTTGGTTAAAGAAATTCTCTGACTATGATTCTAAGAACAATATGTTTCAAAAACCTGATACCATTTCTAACTTGGATGTTTTTTCATTGTAAATTATATCACTGGTCATGTAAAATATCTTAGGTCTCAGCCTAAAAATATTTTTCATAAAATCGAACTCTAATTTGTTTATTTAATGCGTCGATTTTTTTAAATATCTTTGTTTTTAAAGTCATGATCATGAATCATACCCACTTACAGGTTTTCCCCAATCTGATTTGGCTACAGTTTTCTTTAAGATGACAAACATTTTTATTGTATTTGATTGTTTTTTATTTTGATAAGATCTTAAATAACTTGATTACCCGACTAAATATGTAGAGTATGATTTAATAAAAGGTTTGTGATCTCGATACCATACAATTTTATATTTGCCGATTTCAAGAACTAACATTCGATTACATTTTCACTTGTCTTTAATATCTGTAGATTATCTAATAAAGTCCAACTTAGTTTTCATCATTTTGAACGATAGAACTTTGAGTCACTTTTAAGTTTGTTTCCAGTGTCATCAGAGAAATTAAAAAATACAAGAACCTTAATCAACACACATACTCAGTTGTATTATAGTAAGAAACGAAATCCAACACTCTTTTACAGCAATTTTGAACTGCAGCAACGACATCATCAACCTCCTCCTAGAAAACGGGGCTTCCAAAACTGTAAAAGACAAAAACGGATTTGATTTTGAAAAACACAAAAAACTCGCCTCGTTATCGGCAGCGTAAATTTAATAATGCTGTAAACTAGCATCTAGTAGTTTATGTATGTCATTCTTCCTTCAAATTCTAGCACCATGCCCTCATAATCCATCTTAATTCAAAATTCCTAGTAGTATTTTTTCGATGTTCTCTCACTCCTCTTCATCCATTTCCAATGGTAAGTTCCACCAACACAACAACAAAAACAAAATAAATACAACTCGAGTTTTGTAGACGCTGTTAGATCCAACGAGTCCCTTCTAAGTCGATGTCCTCTACGCAGTGTGCAAGGACTTCCTGACATTTTCTTCACTACGAATGCGATGACGCGTTCTTTACGATACCAGAAGCAACAAAGTAGTGAACAAATGTGTATGGAGATTGATGTTAATTTACTGCGACAGAGTGTGGAAGATGCATTGAAGGAGGTTTTTTCTAGGCGGTGGACCATATTTGTAGGATTTGTCACGGTGGCAATAGTTCGGGGGATTTACTGACGCCATGTTGCTGTAAAGGCAGTGTGGCTTTAGCCCATTTGAATTGTCTAGAAATCTGGTTGAATGAATCCAACAGAAACGAATGCGAGTTGTGTCAGTACCACTTCAGGGTAATCAGGGAACCAAAGTAAGGTCTAAAAATGGAATTTATGTTCATGTTTCAAGTAATAACTTCTTGAGACTACTATATAGTGTTGATGACGTTTTTGAATTTGTTTAGTTTTCCTAATTTAGTTTCTTAGTTTCAGCCTTTTTAATATCCAATATTAAACCAGTCTTCTTGTTTTTCATTTTTTTTTGTCATTTCTCGGCGTTTCATAATTCCTAGAGTACGGAAAAGTAGGTCCTCATTTCCGTCTGTCTGTCGTCTGTTGTCCGTTAGTGACTTTATTAGACAAATAACTTCCGAATAAAATGCTAATCACATTTTTTCTGATCATCCCCACTAACATTTGAACGCACCGTTTAAATATTTTGCTACGTGAATCTTATTGAAATATTTAAATTTTATAAAGTAATGTGCTTCTAAATTTGTGACTCATTAATTCGTCTTTATTTTTTCAAGTCAGGCATCTACAATTAAAAAAAAACAAAATTTTACAATATTTTACAATCTAGCTTAGAAACTACAAAAGCGACTGCTCTGAAATTTTGCTAACGTTTTAACGCTAACATGGTATATCAACAATCAAAATGTATGTTTATCCCCTTCAAAGGGGATAACGTCATTTCAACATTTTTTTCAAAGACAGTTCACTTAAAACATACGCATAACATGCTTATTTACGTGATGTACTTTAATTTTAAATTATATCTACGTGTTAACAATAAAAAATAAAATTCGGATAATTTTATGATGTAAATATTTAAAAAACTGGATGTGCTGCAGGAACAAGGGAAATTCTGTGTAGGTAAATAATGTTATAATACCTATTTTTTCCATTGATGTTCTATTCCTACAAAAATACAGCGCACAGCGAGCATTGAGCTTCACTTATTTCATCTAAATAAAAAGTTTTGGACATAGAGCGAAGGCTATCGCAGCGCGTAAAATACAAAAGTGTAGGTTTCCCCTTTTCATTTTTGTTTGTCTATCTGTTGGAAATATTTTGAATAGAATTTCTCTGTTTATTATATTTTTGTATTATCGTAAAACTGATAAAAAAAAAACCTCACCAAAATTGTATTTATTCTCATTTCTAAAAACTTATAAAATAAACCATTACAACATCCTGATTCCATATGTACTCATATCTCAGATGCATATAATTTGTTATAATTTTATTCAGTTTTGCAACAAAAAAAAAAACTAAAAGAAAATTCTAAATAGTTCAAAGGGCACTATATTACAGTTAAATAAAAAGCAGAATACCTACTTTGTCGTGAATGTTCTAATTAAAATAGTCATTTTTGTCACAAGTGAGATAAAAACTTTACAGTCCAGGAGTTGTAATCACGAATACAAAACACCGGTGCCTTTACTTCTAGGGCTAAATTTATTTATGACGTCACATTTTAGTCAAAATCAATAAATCGCACTGATTTAAGTAGGATATACGTTTAATCAGTGCGGTAATTTACAGTTACTGCATTAGTACCTACAATATAAAAGTTATTTACGTTATAAGGCATTAATTTTAGTAATTTTACCGTATCATTGTAATATTTAAATAATAGAGCAAATTACCTAACTCAAATTAATTTACAAAATTACAAAAAACTTAAGAAACCTCAGAAAATTATCACGATTTTAAAAAACAAAGTAAATAAAAACCCTCATTTATATTATTTTCATGGCTTGTTCAAGACAAAGAAAATCACTTACACAATAATTTCTTTACCCAATTCCTCCCTAAAGGACCGAAGAAATGAATCTTCTTCTAGAACTATGAAATAAATATTGTAAATCGTCTAAAACAAAAACTTGAGATTTGACCGTGAATTCAACCTCCAATTTTATTTCTTCATAATAAAGAGAATAACTATTTTTTCAGGTATAGTATCCTCTGGTCCATTTACATGTTTTTGAGACACCCCGGAGAACATTTGCGCGAGCTATTGGTGGATGTAATCACTTTAATTGTCTACACGCCTTCAACAGTGACTTCATCATATATGTTGATGCTGTTGTGCGAATCCATGGCTAAAACAAACCCTACTTTTCGCAAAAGCTTTCTTTCTCATATAATGGCTTTCACGGCGATTTTTGGTAAATGGAAAAAAAAAGATAAAAACGTGTAACCCGATTTAAGGTATTGCAGCTATCAATTTCATCTATACGTCATGGTTAGTTCTAACTGTGGAAAAGTACGTCGATTACTGGAGGGACTGGTACAAGAAACATTGCACCTTGAAAGTAATCCTCTCGGCCAACAAGCTCAACCAAAATCCGGTTCATTCAAATGTATCCGCCATCTCCTAGGGACTTTCACTTTTCAAATGACAATAATGACAGTTATTTGACTTACATGTCAACAATGTGCATCCACATTTTTTAAATAAAAATAAACAAATTAGAGTATGTGAGTGTGAATTACAATGAGTAACTCGACACCTTCGTCCCGGACTGCCCATAACCCTCGTTATAGTAACAGCATAACAAAAATTATCAAAAACAGGGAGTTGGGGCTTGGAACATACATCGGGTGTGAAGATGATATTGTGGCAAAAGTCTACAGCAGTATTGACAAGTACAAAAAGAGTAGCTTCAGCCCGGGAAGGAGCCGAGGCGGTATTTTCAACCTGGAGTTCAGCCTCGATGGGTAAATTCATGTTTGTCGACTCCTTTCTCTCATTACAAATTTTAGGAAACTCCTCGTGGCTGCCTGTGAACACAATTGTGTTCTAATTCACGACGCCTCCACCCAGCAATTAATAAAAACCATGGAAAAAGCACACGACAACTGCGTCAACTGTGTCAGGTGAACATAACCTTCAAAATTTGAGTGGGTTTGACACTTGTTGCAGGTTTTTAGATGAGCGGATGTTCGCTACGTGTTCGGACGACAACACAATTAAATTATGGGACACCAGGAACGTGAGGAGTGCCACGAAAACACTACACGGGCACTCAAACTGGGTAAAACATGAATTTCCCGGAGGAAGTTGTACCCATGTAAAATTTTGTTGCTGATAATGTTAGAAGGGTCATTTAGATTACATTGTCACCACGAGTGTCTTATAATTACAGTCAATTGCAATGATATTTTTTGTGGGTACAAATTGAATGTTTATAACAACTTAGGGTTTTTATCACTACAGGTGAAAAATATAGAATTCCTAGAACGCGAGAACGTGATGGTCACTTCAGCCTTTGATGGGAGTATATATGCATGGGATTTGAAAAGCCCCACTGAGAACAGCATGTTGTATGATAAGGTTCTGTTAATGAATGGTTTAATGAGAACTAAGTTAACTCCTGATGGGTCCAAAATGGTCATTTCAACAACTGGTGGTTATATTGTTATAGTCCATGACCTTAATCTGGCGACGTTAGCCAATGATTTTCGTTCATTCAAGGTAGCTGGCGCGTTTTTCCAGTTTGATAATAATAGTAGTGATTGTAGCCACTTTTGTACCGACTGATGCAAACCAGCGGTCAAAGCTTCCCCGCTGCGACCATCTTCAATAATCTTTTCCTTCCGACAAGGCGGAGAAACCGAATAGAGTTTATTTCCGATTTCACTATAGAAGCTGAAGTTATAAGTTCCTTACAAATTCACCCACATGGGTGGAATTGTGTGTCTCGATGTGTGAGTCAGGATGAGACTCAAGAGGTGCTCTCCACTTTTTAGGTTTCCAAAAATAAAAATTTCTGTCGTAGATTACCTGTGTCCATGACATTCAAAAGCGTGAAGTTTATCAGTATGAAAACTGTGAATGTTCAGATGAAGATGAAGCCTCTCAGAATTCCGATTCGGATGATGGTAACTCCACTTCGCGACCTACCGACCTCTGGATGGGTTTCGTTTCAAATTATCAGTACAACACTGAACGACAAGCACAACCAAACTTGATGGAAAATTTCCATTTACCTTCCATGGGTATAATTAATAGTGGACTGATCGGTAGGAACAGTTATAGCGAGTACTTCCAACAACACCCCGAAGACAAAAATAAAGTTATAGTGAACTTGCCGCGACTGACTCACCACGTTGATGAGAAGAATGTTGGCAGAGGTTATATTAAAGAGTTGTGTTATTCGCCTGATGGTCGCCTGATTTGTTCACCATATGATAAGGGAATTAGGTTGTTAGGTTTTAGTGAGACTTATCAAGAACTGACGTATTGTGTTCCTGAGAGACCCCAACAGTTGATAACGTTAGTTGAAATGAACAATTACCACAGCGGAATTGTTGTTTCCTGTAAATTTAATCCCAGAGATTTGACTTTGGTTAGTGGTTGTTTAGGTGGTGAGATTGTGTGGTATAAGCCGATATTGTAAATTTCGTTTTTTTGTATAGTTGTTTTATTGACCTTTGACTACGCCACTGGAAGAAAAACGAGTCGCTAATGTTTGGATGTTACATCAGTCTTTTAATTTATATAAAAAAAGTCATTCACGTGTGCGAAATTAAAGTTTATTTGTTTTTAAAGACGCTTTGTAGATTTTTATTAATTACTGCGTCAGTTTAATAAAAAAAATCTGAACTTGATCATATGAATTTTCAATCGGACGGAAGGGGGCGCTTCGAGAAGTGTCAAACCCAATTTTTTAGAGGTTATCTCAACCAACAATAATAATCAATCATGAGTCATTTATTTTGATTAAAAGAGTTAAACGTGATAATTTTAATAAACAGATGTTCAAATACATCGAGAAATGCGTTGCAAACAGTGTGGTTCCTCGTTTCGCCTCTCTATTTGGATAATGCAGTGTGGGGAATGTAGAGACCAGTATTGCACAAAGTGTATGAAGAGAGGAGTGAATGGGTAAAATACAAACATGATAAAACCACTAAAATACTGTAATTTTTTAAATTTTTTCTAGGATATGCTACTGCGAGAAATGTACTGTGTTAATTACAAGGCCTCCGGACATTAATGAACTGATGAAACTAAAGCCCAAAGACTTGCAAGAATACTTGAACCGTCACAACATTGCAACGGTTGGTTTAGTCGGTACGTAATCACTTTTTAAAAAAAAAATAATAATAATAGTGAAAAATAATGTGTGAAAGCAAGGGCGTAGTTAAGAGGATTTTGGGATTTAGTCCCCCCCACTCCCATATATTTTACAAAATTATCAGACATGATAAAAAAAAGCAAGGATTAAAGGAAGAATAATTTTAAATTAGGTGCAAATATTTTAGTGTTTGAAAACGTGTGTAACTCCGTTAATTTTTTATCCAAACTAACAAAAAACTTGTGAAGTTTCAAAGAAGACTTGACTCAAGTTTGCGATATTTTTACAATAAATGAATATTTGAAATACTTTCAAGGACAGAATTGTTATACAGCAAAAATAATTGTTACCTAATGTCTGCAATGTAAAAATTGAAGGAATGTATGTTTTAAATAAATACCTAAATCAGATTTAAAACTGGTAATATTATCAAATAAGTATACTTTAATGTTTAGTTTGTAGGTTTCTTGTTGACAAGTGAAAATTTGAAAAACCAAATAGACCATCATGTCAATTAGAAGAGTTATGCATTATTTGACTTTTTAATATTATTATTAATATTACTATATTACTAATGTGTGAAAATGAAACCATTTTGTTTCCCAAAACTACTATTTTTGTAGAAAATGAATTCAAGAGTTTCCATTATAAAATTTAGTCGACATTTTGTCACTTAACCTGTGTTAAAGTTCGTGCAATGGTACCTAAAAAAAAAGTTAAAAATGATGTTTTTCCATTTAAACAAATGGTGAACTCATTTTCGACTTCACTACTAACAGTGCCTGTAGTATAAAATAAAGCGCGAATCTATTATATCAGGACGTTATGTAACAATGAAACATCATGTGCTATCATTTATCTTAATAAATGCAAAAACACTTGATCTATACAGGCTGTCTACAAATGATTCATCAAACTATCATGGCATTTTAAATTTGTCTAAATTTAACACACACACGCCTACTGCCTTGTGGGAGTAATGTGGCCAGTAACTACATAAATAAGCTTATTATGTTGGTAAGTGATAACAGATAGTCAAACGCGAATTTAACATTATAGTGCACTGATCGCTTGTAAAATACAATAAATATTTCCCACGTTGAACTTATTTTTACTTGAAGATCATAAACTAGGTTTTATAACTCCTAGAATATGCAAAAGTGGTTCTTCCGTTTTCGTTTGTATGTCGTATTTTCGTTACTTTATTAGACTTGATCGAAATAATTGTTGTGAAATTTTAAATATGTATATATTTTTACTTCCCGAGCATAAGCTAATGAAGTATAGTAATCGAGGCCATCGGCCGAATTGCCACTTTCATATTTTCTCGACGTGTCATGACCTCTAGAGTACGAAAAAAGTGGTATCCCGTTTCCATTTGTCTGTCTGGTGTCTGTATCCATTTTTATTAGACAAGTAAGACAAGCAATCTCCGCAACTACTGGACCGATTGATGTCACATTTTGTATGTATATTACGAATAAAATCATTAAACGCCATCTAAAATCTGGTTAATCATCCCCACCACTAATGGGATGACGTTATCCCCAAAATTTATAATAAAGTTGTTTTACATTTTATAGATAAACATAGGCCTGCACTTGTGGTATATGAATCCGTGTCGAATTTTCACCCTATACATCCAGAATTTTTGGAAACAATTCAAAACTGAATAACATTTTACAATATAACTTTATTCCCTCCCAAAAAATTGATGACGTCATCTCAAAATTTTGCCGATTAAATCCTAATTTGGAACTTACGCTCAACACGCTTCTTTACAATTACTTTAACATTACATACCCATTTTTATTTTAACTTAAAAGATTAAAATAAAAAATAAAATTCGCCAATTCAAATCTTACAGTTTTTCGAAAAATCTGGATTTATATTTACCTTTAATCAATTTTTGAGATGTTTTTTTATTTTCTTTCATTTTTCAATTTTTCCATTTTCCAAAGTTTCGGTTTCATAATTCTTCGTTCAATTAATTACTCGCGATTAAGTTTAATTGAGGCCCGTTGCTATGCAACGTGCATTATTTACCCAATCACTGGCTCATATTCAACATTTTAATCCTAGGTTAAATTAATCGAGAATTCAATATTTAATTCGTTTCGCAAATTTTTCAGTTTATCGTTTCTTGCATTTTTCGTTTTGAAATTTCTCAGTTTTGCAATTTTTCCATATTATAATTTTTCTTCGCGTCTTCAGTTTCTCAATTTTTAATTTATCGATTTTTCAGTTTTTTGTTTCCTCAATTTTGAAGTTTTCTATTTTATTTTTCATTTTCCCGATTTTTTAATTTTCATTTTCTTGATTTGATTCACAATTTTTTGTTTCATTTTCTTTATTTTTTTAATGTTTCTTCCGATTTTACAATTTTTCGTTCGTTTGTTTCATTCTTCAAATTTTTCAATTTTCAATTCCTCGATTTTCCAATTTACAAATTTTTTAATTTTGCAATTTTTGGATTTCTCAATTATCCGATTTTCCGATTTTTTAATTTCCAGTATTTCGAATGTACAATACATATTTCGTTTTTTCGTTTTTGTAATTATTCGATTTGTAATGCCCGTTTGTACCGTACTTTTAATCACCTGATTAACGTTATGCTTTGTTTAATTTGACAGATTTGTTTGCCTTTTTTTGTCATACCTGTAGCCTTCTTTCCACAACAAGAAACTTAAAATATATTTTTTAAATATACATAGTTTTCTTTCAATAACAGGATAGTTAACAGGTTTTCATTTTCTTGTTAGGAAAAAAGATTTCGTATTTTAAGAAAAAATGGACAAAATATGAGGCCCGCCCACCCACCCCTTTTCAATTGTGATACATTTTTTATTCATCGTGAGCTGGGGGGAGCTTAGTTGCATCCTCATTTCTCTATAAGAAATTACCATATGAAACATGTTTTTAAAAGGGTAGAATTTTCTACAGAAATTTTGATGTTACAGTTAAACTCCCCCCCTCGGTCTCATTAGGAATCAAAAACTCACAAATGAGATCGAGGTGGGTGGGTGGAGTTTAATCTTCCTTTTTTTTCTTTATGTACATAGTTTTCTTTCAACAATTTTTTGGCACAAGGAACAAGAGATATTATAATAAAAAACATAGTGTCAATATATTATTCAATAATCTCAATATATTATAAAATAAACTCTACTTCTAATGTAAGCCACGTAGAATAAATTGTACTTTCTCGTTTTTCAAATCGAAAAACTGCAAAATCTAAAAATTGGAACGTTCCAAAGTTGGAAAATCGGAAAACTGGGAAATTTAAAAATGAAAACTCGAAGAGATATCGCAGAATTGTAGAAAAGAAAAACAAAAAATTGAAAAATTACAAATGGAAAAATTGACGAAACGAAAAATTGTAAAAATAAAGAAAATAAAAAACTGAAACGAAAATTGCAAATGGAAAAATTAAAAATTGAAAACTCGAGAAACTCAATTCGAAAAATTGTAAAATCTGCAAATTGAAAAATTCAAAAGTTGAAAACTCGAAAAATTTGAAATCGAGGAAACGAAACAAAAAAATGAAATATTGAAAAGAACTGAAAAATTCAAGTCAAAAAAGTTATCAGAAAACAAAAATTGCAAAAACAAAATAAATGTTTTCGAAAAAGTGGGATTTATTTGGTTGCACTTCAGAGGCGGAGAAGTTCAGTTGAAATAACCTCCGACCATTTTTTTTAATATTGTGTAGATGGGAAAAAGTTAGCGTAAACTAAATTTTGTCTAATTGTTGCCATAAAAAATTTCTCTAATCTCAAAATTTTGATAAATAATTATTTTTTTGTTTTAATAATGTGTCAATATTTTTAATATCTTAGAATCTATGAAACGATTTATTTTTATTTTTGCAGGATGCTAACATTGGTCTAGTGATTATAAAACAACGTTTAAATTTTTTTTTTTTCTCTTTAAAAAGTTAAAGACGTCATCACGCAAATGTATTAAATACATGTTTTTTAAAATACCTACGTGTTTCAAGATGCAGCTTTGTTAGTGCTTTCGTAGTATTTTTATTATTAAGAAATGTTTGTGCCGCATATTGATAATATAATGAAATGGTTTATTTAATTTTTCCAAAATTCTGGCCTTGTAAGATTTTCAAAATCAACATTTGTGTTTATCTAAGGAGGTGGACTTATTTGATTGTTTCAGAGGCGAGGGAAGTTCTGTTTAAATAACTTTAGACTAATTTTCCAACCGAAGAAATAATGTATTCCAGATTTTGAGCAGCCATATTGAAGTGTGACGCCCAACAATTTTGACGTTGACCCATTTCTGCCCTAAACCACAGTCACATCCACGAAAATTTAAAAGTTAACACAAGATTAAAAAATGGACAGATAAGTGTAGTTGTTTGTGCTTTTTGCTGTAGTACCTATCTTAAATCAGTTTTATTTTACGAGATGGTTCCAGTCTGTTAAAAATCTTTTTAATTTTAATACTAATAATAATAATAATAATAATCATAATCATATAATGCGAATAAACGACGCATAATAAAATCGTCGATTTAAGTTCATCCTAATGTTACAAAATGTTGGTTAAAAATAATAATTACTGATATATATTAATATACAAATTTTAAGTACTGTAACGGCGGGCGCCAGTTTTTTAACGTGATATGGTCCAGTATTAATCGTTCGCGATTGTTACAAATTCATACAGATCTGACCTGACCTGACGCTAACCTAACAAAAAAATATCTGGGCTTACTGCGTCTTTAAAACAATCGTGAACGTTGTATACAGAGCCGGCATTCAGTAAAACTGCTCCAAAAATTTTGTTTCGGGAGTTCAAATACACTCTAGTATAGTCACCTCTAACCACTTGAGTTTTATATTCTGTGAAGACTTTTAAGAGTCTTTGTTGAGTCGTTACCCTCTCCTGTGCAACGGGACACTCTATTGATTTTAAAATAAAGTTACAGTATTGAAAAAATAGATTTCTTTACAACAGGAGCTTCCAATAATTACGCAGTGTAAAGTAGGGGAGAATATTTGTGTTAACTAATATAAACTACATTTAGAAGGAATTTCTAAAATCCTAAAACTTCTAATTTATCTAAACCGTTGAAGTCGTACCGGAATCAAGCGTGATCAGTATCAACATCTATCTAACAGCAATAATTTCCATTAAAAACATTTTATCCCAATAAATGGATGTTCAATTAATTTTATCTCGAGTGGGCTATGTATGACTGAGTGTATTTTATGTTCTCTTGGGGTCATATTAATTTGACTATTAATTGATTAGTTGTAATAATACCTCTATGTTCAGACATCTTCAGCCAACTCCAAACGTATTTTTCCAGACTCGGTGACTGTTCGTTTCTTATATTTTTAGATAATTTGTTAAAAAATGAAAATTATTGTCAGTGTTAAAATTCTAGAAAAACGCGAATTGGTGGACCTCCTCTGCAACCGCAGCATCCCCGTCAAGAGCACGAAAAGTTCCACAGTCCTAAACAAAATCTTCAGTAATTTCGAATCGGTTCTAAGCCTCCCGGACCGACTCAACGGTCAAGTGGACCGTAGACCCCGCCCCGCGGAACGCCCGGTCTACGCCTCCAGCAGCTCAGGGAATCTATTCACCGATTCTAGATTCAATGAGAGCCAAACTTCGAACACTCTGCCTAAGGAGCGGCGGCCGCCGCCCCCACGACCGCCTAGACCGCCGCAGCCACATCTCAACCGTCCCCACCCCACGGCGCCGCCCGACCCTCTCCAACCGACAACCTCGGCGGCGGAATCGAGTCCCGTCCTCCCGAAAATCCCCAAATTGTCTGACTACGCCAGCGCGGACGACTTGGGGGCGCTGTCTGCGAAAGAGTTGAAAGTGCTGCTAGCGTACAATAGGGTGGATTATAAAGGGTGTGTTGAGAAGGCGGAGCTCCTGGAGAAGGCGGGGCGTTTGTGGCAGGACGATCATAAGCAGAAAGAGGATTTGACTGAGAACATGGAGGATCTGTGCAAGCTGTGCATGGATGCGCCGCTGGATTGTGTTTTGTTGGAGTGCGGACATATCGCCACTTGCATCGACTGTGGGAAGAAGTTGGCGGAATGTCCGATCTGTAGGCAATACGTTTCGAGGGTGGTTAGAACTTTTAAGGCTTAGGTTTTTAAGGAAGTAAAGTGATCAAATTTGCACAAGCAAAGTCTAGTTATTAGATGGAAAAAGTTTATCAGTGTTACTTTTTATTCGTTGAAATCTTTTCATGATTCGTATTGTATGTTAAATTCGGAAAATATAGTATTTCTAATAATGGCGGTGTTTGTTGTTTTTGTGGGACGTGGTGACTTTTTCTTTACCTGTTGTTAAATTAAAGTGCACTTCAAAAGTAATAAAAACAGTGAAAACATCAAATTTGTACGTAGTATCTATAATTTTGATGAATCTAAGTAAATGAGATCCAACCAATTCAGGATGTACTTCTCACAAATGAAATCAAATATGTCCTGAATCAATGCAAATATTTGAATATTACAAATTAAAAAAACTAAGAAGAAAGAAAAATCTGAATTAAAGTATCTGGATGCAAATACTCAAGCTATTTAATCACTGCTATTATGCTATATGAACAAACGAAAGTCTGTATCGGGAGTGCAAATCATAGGTCACGGTTACAGAATCGAGCTCTGACATCAATATGATCAGAAAGAATGTGCATGATGTTATATCATGCGTGAATTAAAAAAAAAAACGCATTCAATACGATCAAAATCAAAATAAGGTAGCCCCGGAAACGCTTGGCGTATTTCGAGAATAAATGTTCGAATTCAATGCGCAAATCTATAAGAGAATACCTTAATTAGATCTAAAACAAACTATTAAACTTGTAAGAAAATATTAAGGCCAGTCCTTTTTTCGAGTTCACGAAGATACTAATTGGACTGCGGCGTCGAATGTGATTCATTCATCATTTCAGTGAACACTACACTAGCTCTGTTTCACGCGTCCAAAAAGGACGTGCCTGACCTTCCCAAAACTCTACCTGCGTCTCCGCATAACAAAAGCCTCCTCTAACTGAGAGTGAAATTCCTCTGAAAATATATAAATTTCAACTGCGGCTTAACGACTTTGTATTTTTTTCTCAGCACGAAATTTAAGTTTCAAAATTAAAAACAAGATATTTCCAAAATTATTTTCAGTAATGAAAGTTGGGTCCATTTCATGTATCCAACCTAATAAGTAATGAATTAAAATAGAGTCAAATATACGAGTATAAAAGAAAAATTAAACTTTTTTTTTAATTATTTTTTCTTTAGTTGATAGACAATCCCCCTAATAATGTGTCATACAATTAGTGCACCGTTTTTGAATCACCCTGTATAATTACTTTTGTAAATAAGGTAACGCAATTATACTTGATCTTTAAAATCCTATTAATTTTATTATGATTAAGTCCATTGACGAATGATTAATTTCATGTTTCCTCGATGTTTCGTGTACTTACAATGGGAACAAAAAAATAATGTCAATCTTCCGTTTCCGCCTGTCTGTCGTCTGTTGGCAATTTGGTGTCTTCCATACACTCCAGATTTCGTTCAAACTTTTAAATTTTCGTACCAGATTTTTATCCTTACATATTTTTACTACCCGCGCGTAAGCTAAGGAAGTATAGTAATCGAGTCCATCGGACGAATGATCACTTTTATATTTCTCAACGTTTCATGACCCCTACAGTACGAAAAAAGTAGTCTCCTGTTTCCGTCTGTCTGGTGTCTGTATCCATTTTTATTAGACACATAATCTCCGAAACTGCAGTTTTTTTTTTGTTGTCAAATTTTGTATGTATATTAGAATTATCATGCCTAGATTGTAGATGGTTAAATGCTAACTAAAATTTTGCTAATCATCCTCACCAACGATTTGATGACGAAATTTCACAGAACACAAAGCACAATATAATAGTAATTTACCATTAACATAAAGCACCCCGGTCATGGTCTAATGGTGATAAATAAGAATTATAATATTATGATTTTTATTATTCGGCCTATTTTGTTTGATGGTGGTTTAATTAATTTTAGTCCCCTGTTTTGAGAAGACAAACTCATCCAAATCAAACTAATTTCTATGTGACATTCTTTCGATGTATAAACATAAATAAACACTTGATCTTCAGATTGCAATTACCTAGTGCTGAAGGACATTTTATCCCGTTAGTTAAGTGCTTTGAATATATTTACATTGTCCGTACGGCGCAGGGGCTGCGGGGGTGTTCTTTATCCCGCCGGTTTTTACTTTACAGAGGTTATTTCAAAACGAAAATCGTAAAATTAATTTTTTTTTTTGAAGAGCTGGATTTATCGGATTATACTTCAAGAACGGGGGAAGTTCTGTCGAAATAGCCTTCCACCAATTTTTTATTCTTGTAAAAATTTTATGTGTATTATTTTTTAATATTCGATCCTTATTTTATTTTCTAGAAACTTTTCCTTTAACTTTCCTTATTTGATTATTACATTCCTTTAGTTTTTTCATTTCTGGTTTGTTACTTTTTCTTTCATTTTTGTTTTAACTCTTCACATACCTCTTTCACATATTTTTCTTTTTTGTGGCTTTTGTTATTATTTATTCTATTATTTTCCATTTTTATATTTTTTTCGCGTTTGTGTCGCCTTTTACAATTGTAACATTTTTGTTTGGTACATTGTTAATCGCTTTTTCTATTTTTTCGTAATATACAGCCTGTTATTGAAAGGTACGTACAAAATAAAATCGGTAATTGGTCTCGAAGTATGGGTGCTAAAAGTTAAAAAAAGTTCAGGTAAAAATGTTCTCCTTTTAGAGATAAAAATTATTAAAATTTATGTCCAAATTCGTTGTACGCCTCTGATAAAAATATAATCTTTCGTTTCTATAGCAATATTTAGTCTTGACAAAAGTTTTATTGTTACAGTTGCTAGGATTTACTAAAATAAATTAATTTTACCTATTTATCCTTCAGTAGCGTCTAAAAAGGTTGGATAAGGGTTAATTTTCCCCTTATAATTTTGATAACACAAAATAAGTTTTTCAGACTTCTTAGGCTTCGCGAAGAACTGTCAATTTTGTTGTACGTACTTTTCAATAACACCCTGTATATCTTTGGTATCATATTTCTCCTTTCTTGGTGCACGTGTATTCAAAATGAACAATTTTTACTTCCCGAGCGTAAGCAAAGAAAGTATTGTAATCGAGTCCGTCGGCCGACTTTCTACTTTTACATTTTCTCGACCTTTCATGACCCCTAGCAGTCTCCCGTTTCCGTCTGTCTGTCCGTCGGTCTGCCGTCCCGGATTTTTATTAGACAAATAATTTCCGAAAGTACTGGGACCGATTGTTGTGAAATTTTGTATTTATATTAGAAATTTTTTTTTGGAAAGTTAACTTTTATTTATTTTTGTGTTTATGTTTAATTTTTATGTCATTCTAGATATTTTTGTTTCACTATTAATTGTATGTATTTTAAGAGGTATCCCGTTGAATAAATAAATAAATAAATAAATAAATAAATAAATAAATAAATAAATAAATAAATAAAAATAAATATCATATAGATGGTAAAACGCTAACCAAAATTTGCCTAATATTCCCCACTAATAATGTGATGACGTCACTTCAAAATTGTACATAGTAAATGGATTTTAAATTGTATCAAATAACATAGTCCTACACATATAGTTTATGACTCCGGATTGAGTTTTTACCCGAAACGTCCAGATTTTTTGAAAAAAATAAAAATTACGAAATAACATTTTGCAATTTAATTTGGAATCTGCAAAACCGAATGCTTTGAAATCTTGGAGATGTTTTACAGTTAGCATAGGCATGGTCAATTTTTAGTCAAAATATATTTCCTCATCCCCCCCCCCCCTAAAAAATTGATGACGTCACCTCAAAATTTTGCTGAATATGTCCTATCTAAAAATGTACAGAATATGATGAGTCTGTACTTGTGATTTATCATTCCAATCAAATTTTTTTAGAGTTACTTAACAAGTCGCTCAAAAAAATTAATGAATGAGTCAATTTATTGTATTGATTCAATCAGTTCACTCCATCTTCCCGAAAATTTGGAGATACAACACTGTTATCAGGGGCGGCTGGTACAGGGGGCACAAGGGCACGTGCCCTCCCTAAAATTACAACGTCTACAAACACACTGGACATAGCAAAATAGTAATTTTCAATATTTAAAAAATTATCCGGAAATTTGTGTCATTTATCAAAACTATTTTTTTTATCTCACTCCACTTGTATGAAATGTATCAAAACTTACATCGAAAAATGTGTCTTGGATATATGATATGTTATTTCTGATGAAATGCTGATAAAAGCCGGGAACAGAGACCGAATCATGACTGATTTATAGACGTTTTGTTTACACCGCTGCCATGGAAACCTCACGTCCTAGCCGCTTGATACACCTGGACTGCGGACCCTTTCGGACAGTGCTCGGCAGGATTGAGTTACTATCGCGGGTTTTAATTTTCATTGTGCGCGAAAACGTATGATAAATATTCTTGGAAAATCTCGGTAATGCAGACTTTCGGAAACAATTACACACCGCTTATATTAAAAATATTCGGGCACAGAGCCCAAGGGTCGACAAAAATCGCCATAGGTATATTACGCCGATTGATACTGTGCATACAATTTTATGGAGTGTAAGTATGAATTTGCTTTACGTGGACATGACGAAATCCAGGTATATTTCGAGGTCTGATTGATTTTATGGCTAAATTGGACTTTATTAGATCATTTGAAAGAAGCAACCGTTTTTAAAGGAACGCCTAAAACTGTCCAAAATGAACTTTTAGTTGCCATGAACGTAAAATTTTGACCGAAGGCAAAAAGGTATGTGGAGAAATCCTTTTTTATTTTTATTGAATGTATTTTTATATATATTGTTAATACCAATTAATAATTTCATATATTAATTGGTATTAACAACCTGTTTTATATTTTCATATTTAACTCATCGATCAAATTGTGTCCCCCCATTTCAAGAGGTCACGAGCCGTTCGTTTGAAACATAGGCGTAGCACGCTTATTTGCATTTACTTTAATATTACAGACGTGCATTTGTTTTGTTGCGCTGACTAGGTTCCGTCAATGTGGTATAGACAAGTTATAATAAACCAATTGTGAATTACACTATCAAAAATTAAAATAAAATCCAATGTTTTACATAAAAAACGGAAGTCGAAGCAATAAAAAAGTCTGGGCGACTATCGGTATTGTTTGCAGTTTCTCTGTTTGACTCTCACGTGTCCAATCTCAACAAGTGTTACCGCTTGTTGTCTTAAATTGAGAATGCTTATACATAAATGATTTTGAGTCGCCTCTGCTAATACACGCGGCATACGTCAGTAAACTGTTTCGTTATTTATTGATTATAAATCAATATTCAGGACGACCCAGTTCATTTTCCCGAAAATTTGGGAATACAGTACTTTTATTTTTAGTATTACACTATTATATATATCCAAACTGATATACGTGTCCTTGCAAAAATGTTGATGACGTCATCGCAAAATGTTTTTAAATTGCCCCGGTACAAAAATATCCAACAGCGAGGGAAATACTGTCTAAACTCTTTAGACCAATTTTTTCCTTTCTTATTCCTATTCTACACAATCTGTCTTTTAGTTTTTGACTAAAAAAAACCTATTCCAAAATTGGTTATAAATAATTTGTGTTCCGTTATTTATTAGGTCAGTTTCTTTCTATTTTTATTTCGTATTATTTGTTTATTTCTTTGATTAAATTCATAAATGGCCCTTCTTCCTAAATACCTCTTAGCATTCCATTTCCCTAGGTTTGCTCCGTTTTTCTCTTGTTTCTTTTTTCAGTTTCTTTCGCAATCACTATTTATTCTATTATCTTTCGTTTGTCGTTTCCGTTTTTGTGGTCTGGCTTGATTTAAAACGGTCATTATTTTGCCTATGTTAAGATTTATAGGATTTTTGGAGGTGTAGTTTTGTTTATTCTCTTCAGCTTTTCTTTCTCCTTCTGTTTTGTATGTACAGTTTCCTGTGCCCTATTTAGTTGTTTCCATTATCCGTTTCTTCTTTTGCTCTGACCCTAATTTGTTTTTGTATTTTATATCCTAAACTTTTCTAATTTTGTTACCTAAATGTGAATTTCTTTTAGCTAAAAGATGTCTGTATACTACATAATATAATTAATATAATATACAATAATTTATTTTAATGACTTAATAAACCAAATTCTTGGGAAGTGTAGTCTTTTAAAAATTTATCATTTACTACTATTTTACTCCTTTGGAGAGACGCCACAACGAATTCCACATTTTATATCTAGGTTCAGGCTTTTTGTAAAATCATAGTTTACCTTTCATCTCTTTAAGGGTTGCATTTAAGAAAATCTAAAGGACCAGAACTGAAAATATCTTGAATTTTCTGGACAACTTAAGGTCAGTGGTACATAATACAAGTGGTTAAAAATTTCAACAACTGAAACCCGTAACCGAGTTACCGTAACTGTCATCGATCAAACACTGTCATTTCTACTTAACTCCACTTTTTCCTTTAAAATGCACTGCGACGGAGCAATTCGAAACATAGAAAAAGAAATTTTGCGAGAATGCACCAACAAAAATATACAAGTACACGAGAATTTCGTCAATTACTACGTAAGTCGTCCGTTGTCGCTCCACTCTGTTGATAACGAATTTTCAGCTCAAACTTCTCTCGTTGGACCCATCTTGGGGCATAACGGGAAAAGACGTCCTCAATCGAAATGACGTCCAGCGTTTTATTAAACACGTAGTGAATAAACTGGAAGATGAGTACACTCCTCCTATGATAACACTGAAGATGCAATACTACTTCACTTGTAATTTCCAACAGAAGAACAAGATGGTTAAGAGGAATCGGGCGGAATTATTATTGAGGTTGAAAGTGTTAGAGCAGGAGATTATAGACGTGAAAACTGTAAGCGAGGAAGATTATATTAACGTGTTGTATAAGAAGATGGTGTATTACATTGGTTTAGCGTCAGGGTTGGGAAGTCCGTCGATAGAGTCAGTGTATAAGGAAGTTAGAGCCGCTTTAGGCAGTATCCTTGACAGGAACGAGATAAAGGAGTTCACGACGCAGCCGAGGTACGTCAAGTTGGATAACTTGGCGGAGTTTACTAAACTGGTGACAGGAATAAGATTGTTTAACAGAGATTGTGGAAAAGGAGGGGAAGGAATGGAGGACTGTAAGTATGTAGGGTGGTTGAAAGTCTGGACGCTATTTTTCTTGATTAGTACCGAAACTCATCAATGAAGCTCTGGATGCTACAGGAGCCGAACTTCAAGCTACTCTTGTTCAAATTATGGATAAGGTGAATTTGATGACCACAGCTCTGGATTTTGTTTACTTTACGGAGCTTAACGAAAGAAATCGCTATGTTATCGAGTGTAGGCCTCCAAAAGGGGTAACTGTGTCGGATGTGGAGACCGTCAGGGATACCCTTATTGTTTACAGGCAATACGAGGTCTATATCAGGTTGGCTTTATATCGAAAGAAGTAAAATATCTATTACTTACTTGTTCTTTCAGGAAACTCCTAGAAGAAGTAGATAAAATAGAAACGACTTCTGGGCATATTTTCTCAAACCTGCAACACGCTTTAATTGAACTTCATCGCGTAGTCAAACACAGAATCGCTATTCCTGTTAACCAAGTTTTTGTGAGTATAGCCGCAGACGTGTTTGTTGTCACGTCTCATTGAACGAAACCTGCCGCATCCTTATAACAACATCCGCACGACAAATGTTACGACAAACTTAAAAAGAACAACTGAATGACTTGCGTTAAAATCTCCTCATTGCCAATTAGTCGATTTCCTTATACATCTGATCGTATTATTCTGAAATTCACATTCCCGAAATTGTGAAAGAAGATTTTTAAACAAAGAATGTACATGATGTTAAATGGATTCTTTTTTAATAGAGAACATAATTTTTGGAACGCCATTTCCCCCACCTTTCCTGGTGTGTTTTTTAAAGATGTATATACTTTTTCCACAATTTCCATACTTTGGTTTAATTTTAAACCTATAGTTTCTAATTGCTCTATTGCATCAGCAATAATTTTAAAGTGAGTTTTAATGTACAAGAGTTCATTTTTAACGTTTGCTTTATTCAGGAATTCTTGAGGTTTTTTAATGCTTTGTGCATCTGTGGCTTCAAATGACATTACAACCTAAAAATATTCAATATAAGAATGATAGTAAAAAAACATTATATATTTACTGACTTGTTTTAAAACATCAAAGTGTTCTGCATAAAACATTGGTGCTTGAATTCCACCTGGTTAATACAGGTTTAGGTGGGAGAGGTGTATTTGGTAAACTGTTTTTATAAAATTCTACTTTTATTGGTGCTTTTAAAAAGATTTTCTTAATATTGCTAATTATTCCATTGACATCTGGATAATTCAGTCTAGTTTTTTCAGACACTAAATGTAACCCATGTGCCATACATGTTAAGTGTGTTATATTTTCATAAAACACCTTCAAATTAGTACCAGTTTTGATCATGTATGAAGCACCATCTGATACAAACCATTTAAGGGGACTCGCTAGACGAGGTATAACATTTTTTTGGTTTTTTGTATGAAAAAATGATATTAATATAGATGTATCATACATCAAACTGCAGCTTTTTTCATATTCTAGAGCGCAGAGACCAGTTCAATCAACTAAAAAAATATGGCTGACAAATATCGTAAAAAAAGCACCATTGTATGTTTTCTTTTTAAGTTTTTTGAGTCATAACCATCATAGAATCGCTTGAAAATTCGCACATGGATAAAACATCACTTTTTACAGGGCGCAGAGTCATTAAATGTTTGTTAGTGGTACAATTTGTTTAAATAATAATGCGTTTATTAAAATCAAAATATACCACAAATTAATGCAAAATACGTCGAATAATTTTAACAGGAATATCAGAGGAAAATTAATGATCTATTGGTTAGCAGAGTTTTTAACAAAAACTAACAATTATTGAAAAAAATGGGTATCAATTCGACAGAATTTGAGCCGTTAGTTCAGTACTTTGCCGATAGGAGCGCCACTAAAATTTACGGAAGCGACTTTCCAGGTAAAACCCTTATCGCCTGCTCTACCATAAGCTGATTGTTAGAGTTCTCGGCTGACTTTTCTAATTTATGGCAAGGAACTCAGTTTTATAACAAGCCGCCAGGACCGGCCGTAGTAATCTATTGTTAAGGAATTTAACTTTTACGCAATGAGGTACTATCATAAAACCGAATTAAAACTGGGGAACTATAATATTTTTACTCCACTCAGGATCCTGAATTCAATACACATGATTACTAAAAATTCATTGTAATATTATTGTTAATATATATTTTGCTTTGTTAATTAATAAAACTAATAAACATATTTATAATAATAATAAAAAATATATAAAATACAGCTTTTGTTTAACACGTATAAGTAGCTAAGTGTTTCTACTACTTATCCCAGAAAGGAGGTGTTTTAAAAAAGCCCTACGCCCAGTAACTTCTCCCTTCATTGTTTACTCGAAAAAAGTGCTCGTATATGTTTTCATTTGCCGAGAGATCATTTTCAAAATATATTTATAATAAAAATATGCAAGTCTTGGTGATGAAAAATGTACTCCTAATAAATTATTAAAGTACATAAAAAAATAGAAACAAATTTTATTTATTTTAATAAAATCTCTCGCAAAGGCAGGTTCCTCTTTCTTCTTGAATCAATTATTTCGGGCAATAATGCGCCAAAGTAAAATCTGCCAAGTTTATCTGCCATCTTTTTACATATATTTCTTCGTCTTTATAATTTTTTTCTATATTTATTCCTTTGGGTGTCCATACAACAAAATATAAACTTGTGAAATACCCGTAACAAGTATTTGTCCCTGGAATTGAAATTAGTAATCATGATTTTTTTTTAGTTTCAATTCTCTGTCTGTCAGTGTACAAAATTTTATTTTTTTTTTCTAACCGCTTCTTCGGGAGACAAATCTTGCGATTTTGAAGGGCATTTAATTTCGACTAATGCACTCCTATCCTCTAGAACTCTGTCTGAACTAGCAGCCAAGTAAGGAAATTGTTTTGAAATAAACAAGCCACACCGTTCAGTTTTTATATTTTTATTTATTTCAAAACACTTGACAGCTTTTTCCTCACTTTGCTGTCCATAGTATGTATGACTATTACCTCTAAATGTACTGTACAACAGAGACTCCACAGTTTTAGCTATTGCTGTAGTCGGTCTAAGTTTGTAAATACGTCCAAAATTTGAAACCGTAACCCTAATTTCTCTTTCTTTTGCCCAAATGTGCCTGTTGCCTAGTGTCTATTTTGAATTTGGTCTAAATTCAAAGATAATTTTCTCAAAAAAATCTCTTTGGCTGTCACAAATGTTTCTACATCCATGACAGGATTTTCTAAAAAATATTTAAACCATAATCGCAGTCGGAACCAGCACACGTAAATTTTTTTACGAATGTTTTGTCTAAGACGAGCTTGTTTTATAGACAAACAATATTTTTTTATTATTAAACGAAGAAGACCGTTTTAATCACAATATATTTACTTATCCCCTCTAAAAAATTGATGACGTCACCTCAAAATTTTGCTGAATCTATCTAAATTGTATAAAATATGATGAGTCTCTTCTTGTGATTTATCATTCCATTCATGTTTTTTGGATTTGCATATACCTGTATATGCATGACCCCAAAAATTAATGAATGCGTAAATTTATTTTATTGATTTAATCAGGAACTACAGAATCCAATGCTTTGAAATCTTGCAAATGTTTTAAGGTTATAAAGAGCATAATAAATGTTTAGTCAAAATATACATATTTGCTTATCCCCTCCAAAAAATTGATGACGTCAGCTCAAAAGTTTGCCGAATAATCCTATTTAAAGTGTACAAAATATGATGAGTCTCTTCTTGTAATTTATCATTCCAATCATATTTTTTGGAATCGGATATACAGAGTGACTCAAAAAACTTAATGAATGCGCAAATTTATTTTATTGTTTTAATCAAGAACTACAAAACCTAATGCTTTGAAATCTAATGTGAAAACGTAATAGGCATGCAGTCGTCACGTTTCCGATAGCGAGGGAAGTACTGTCTAAACTCTTTAGACCGATTTTTTTTATTTTCCCATTTCTCCATTTCTCAATTTTTCAATGTTTCAGTTTGGGATTTTTTCACTGTTTCGATTCTTTAATTTTCCTTCCATTTTTAGTAGGGATGTACCGACTAGTGGCCGACCGGTCGGATAAGCCGACTATTCGGCCGTTTTTCATCGTCGGCTGCAGTCGGCGACTGGTCGGCTAAACAGCCGACCGGTCGGCTTTTTTAATTAAAATTAAAATAGTGCATAAAACAGTTAAACCCGGTTTACACAACCTCCATTAAATATTTAATTGCGATTTAATTTTTAACCCCGCGTTGAAGTACCATGTGACCGACTCTACGCCAATCAGACGTCGCTAATGGCCTTGTTAAATGCGCGATCAACTTAATCTCAGTTAAAATATTGTATAAACTGGCCCTAAATTGTGTTATTCTTTATTTTTGTACTGAGTTACTAAAAAAAATTAAATGTTAAAATTATCCAAACAAATTTAACACATTTTTTTGAAAACAAAGGAAGTTTAATTATTCCTTTTATTAAAATAAAACAAATTTTTAAGGTAGTCAGAGAAATAGAAAAAAAACACACTGTCTGTCGCATTTATAAACCGGTTTTAGCAAAGCCGAACAGTCGGCCGACTAGTCGGTTTTTACTGGCCGAACAATCGGCTAGTCGGTTAGTCGGCCAGACCTACAGTCGGTACATCTCTAATTTTTAGGTTTTTTAATATTTCAGCTTTGGAATTTTGCAATATTTCGTTTCTTGAATTTTTCAAATTTTTGATATTGTTTTCTCGGTTTTTAAATTTTTCGATATTTTAATTTTTCAGTTTTTAAAGTTTTAGGTTTTTAGATTTCTCACTATCTCGACTTTTCGATTTTTCAGTTCCATGATTTTTCAATTTGTCGAATTTTTATATTTTAGGTTTTTTGTTTTCTTTGATGTTTTGAGTTCTCGATCATTCGATTTTCTGAGTTTTCAGGCTTAGATTTTTTTTGTTGTACAATTCTTGGATTTTTAAAATTTTTGTTTTTTAAATTTTCCTATTTATCAACTTACTGGGATTTCAATGTTTTGATTTTTTAATTGTTCAATTTCTCGATTTTCTGAATTTTTAGTTTTTGATACGATTTTTTTTTAAATTTTCAGTTTTTCAATTTATTAACTTTACGATACTCCAGTTTTGCTCGATTTCGATTTCTCAATTTTTCGACATATGACTGTTGGGATTTTTCAATTTATCGATTTTTCGATTTCTCGATTCTTCATATTTTCGGTTTCTCGAATTTCTTCATTTTTCGATTTCTCAATTTTCCGATGTTTCAGTTTTACGATTTTTAAATTTTTTTATTTTTCAGTTTTCAATTTTTGACATTTCTAAATTTTTCGATTTCTCAATTTTTCGATTAACTAATTTTTTTATTTTCCCATTTCTTTATTTCTTGATTTTCAATTCTTTCTTCAATTGTGATTTTTCAATTTTTCGATTTCTGAATTTTTCAATGTTTCAGTTTTGAATTTTTTCACTTTTTCGATTTTTCAATTTTCCTTCCATTTTTCAGTTTTTCAGTATTTCAGTTCTGGGATTTTGCAATGTTTCGGTTCTTCATTTTTCGATTTCTCGGTTTTTCAATTTTTCGATAGGTATTTTAATTTTTCAATTTTTAAGTTCTAGATTTTCCGTTAATTTTTTTGTTTTCCTTGATGTTTTGATTTGTCGATTATTCGATTTTTCAAGTTCTCGGTTTAGATTTTTTGGTTTTCCAATTCTTCGATTTTTAAATTGTTTAATTTTTAGATTGTTCAATTTCTCGATTTTTAGAATTTTCAATTTTTCGGTTTACCGATTTTTTTTTCATTTATAATGTTTCAATTTTTCAGTTATTAACTTTTCGATTTTTCAATTTTGGTCTAATTTGATTTCTTAATTTTTGGATTTTTTGACTCCTCTACTGTTGATGTTTTGATTTCTCGATGTTTCAGTTTTTGAACATTCCGATGTTTCAATTTTTCGACTTTTTGGCTTTTCGAGTGTTCAGTTTTTTGATTTTTGAATTTAGATTTTTGTTTTTTTTTATTTTTTTGGTGTTTCGATTTCTCAATTCTTCAATTTTTCGAATTTTTAAATTTTTAATTTTTCTTTTCGTGTATTTCTCAATTTTTGGATTTTTAAAATTTTACATTTTTCGATTTTACTATTTTTTGATGCTTGGATTTCTCAATTTTTCAAGTTTTCAATACTCATTTTTTCAGGATTTGAATATTGAGAACTTTTCAATTTCTGGATTTTCAATTTTCAGATAAATATTTTAATATTTTGGTTTTTTAATGTTTCGATTTTTGGGTGTTTTGATTTTTCGCTTTTTCTATTTTAAGTATATTTCATTTTTCAATTTGCGCCTTCTGCGGGAGTATTATTTGTTGTGCTGCACTTGACGGGCGAGGGAAGTTCTGTCGAAATAACCTTCGACCAATTTTTATACTTAGCACGTAGGGTTAAGCATTCCTTATTTAACCGAACAGTTATTAATTTAACGAAGCAGCTATTATTTCACCAAGCATATATTATTTTTACTGAGAATTTATTTTTTAACTGAACATTTACTATATAACTTAGCGTTTATCATTTTTACTGAGCAAAAATACAGAGCGTTTAAAAATAGAACTTAAAGTAATAGACGGGCTTGATAAGCCTTGTTTGCTCTACAGTGTCTAAATTGTGTTTGAATAATATAATAATTATCTCGAATATTAAAATTAATATGTCAAAAGAATACGAGAAATGATTATTCTGTGCTGAAAGTATGTTGTGGCAGCCTGTCATAAATTATCATTATTCTTCATTATCGGCTTACGATGTTTTTATGACCCACGTCCGGTAATCGTCTATCCCAACGCGTCAGGTAGATTTAAAGAAGAATTGCTGGTTGCGTTTAAGGCAACAAATGGCGCCCAATTCAAACTTGTCTCTCGCCTAGCGTTCCCCCTTAAGTTTTTTGTGTTCAGTTCCTTTTGGACACAATAAAGCTACAAATTAACAATTAAATAAATTATAATAATTTCAAGGCTTAAAATTATCAATAGCACACCCAATGATTCGTTTATAAATCTCGAGATTGTGTTGCTAATAGTTTTATCAAGCTGCTTCAAAGCTAGTAGAAATGGAAGGCCAGCTTCTTCAGCAGATAACTTTCCAATTACTAAATGGGCTATGTATCTCCCTAATCTGTCCGTCGTCTCATCGACGCTAATCCATATATCATTATTGCCAATAGAATTTCTAATTTGTTTAATTACCTGTAAATTATAAAATTTATGTTAAAAAGTTTTTAAATAAAAATTCTAGTGCTCACCATATCGTAATCTTTTGGTAAATCATGTTTTCTCAGAGTGCTTTCTGAGGGTAAATGCCTTACTGTATATTTATGCATAAAATTTTTAAACTCAGGACAACTAACTTTATTCCATGGAATATTTGCTGCGGTAAATGCCCTACATAAATCGGTGCAAAATTGCGTAAAATCATTGTCGGAACTAATGTTTAATAAAGTCTGTTTACTGGATTTATTCTCGTTCTTTTTATGTGCATCGCCACTACAGTGTTGTTCAAAGTGTGATTTTTTTTCGCACTTAAACTAGGAAACAAAAATGTGAACATAATTCAAACTTCAGTATTTTAAATGTTTACTTAGAACTTTTCCACACACTTTGCAGAATAACTCATTGTCTTTCGTTGAAGAAGGAAATTGAAAATTAGTGTCCAAATTATTCCCTAACCATAGGGAACAGGTTTTTTTTAAATTGGGATAAATATAATATAAATTTCGCTGCAATATCTGAAGTAGATATAAAAAGGCAAAAAACCTAAGATCCGAAGCCTAGTAATAACATAACATTGACATAAATACCTCTTCCCACTTCGAGTTCACAATTATACTAATTTAGTTGATAATAAATTTGGATACCCGCTTCGTCTACGGGATTTTATTAAAAACATTTCCTATCAACAAAAATAAAATTTGACATGAAATGAAACTTCTTAATGGAGTGTGCTTCAGGACCGAGGGAAATTCTGATTGTTGTTATTGTTCTTGAGATCTGTAGAATAAGTTTTAAAATTTCAATAAACCATCGTTTTTTCAGCCCCACTTTATCAAACTTTCTGACATTTGGTGCAATCTCCAAGACCAAACCATCCTCTTAGCAAAAGTGAACCAAATCATGACCGGCTTACAGAGATACATTAAGTTCTTAAACTTCAATGATGTCACAGCAGAAATGATGTTACCAGCGGGAGAAAGCCCGATGACGGATGCTCAACGTCTAGACAAAACTAGATGGCTGACAATACCAACAGAGAAGAGCAAAGCAAAAATTGTTGATATTACAAATTACACAAGCATAGATAGATTGAAACTAGAGTATTTAGGATTTTGTGCGTGGAAGCTTTTTGTGACTGATGGGGCTCTATTACCAGGGAATCCCAGTTTAGGGATTATCAAGTCCATGCATATGAACTTTGTGTGTTCGTCAGTAGAGGCTGGGGTAGCGTTTTCGCACGAACCGGAAAAGTAAGTAGTTTTGTTTCGTTATTTTGCTTGACTGAAAGCTTGAAGGTGTGTAATGGAAGGTATTAATTTGGCTAGAAGAAAAATTGAACTTATTAACTTGCTGGGAATAAAGAGTCGGTTAATTTTGGTTCAGAATATCAAAGAGTGAGTAGTTGTGATAGTACCTACGTAAGAGCGATTTTTGCTATTATGGTAACTTACAGGCTATTTAAAGAACCACCAGAACTTCCACTAACTGAAGATGTGGAAATACAGACCGAAATTCATCCGCTTGAGGATGCTATAGACAAGAATTATTGTTGGAATGTGTGGGATTTAAGAAGGAGAGCGATTCTCTTCGTAAGTAGCAATTTTTTTTATAATTGAAACAGGCGTTTCTAATTTGCAGACCACAGTTTATCTTGTAGACTGGGGGTTAAAAATGCTCCAATCAAGTTGAAACTCAACATTTGCTTATTTCTCAATACGAAGATTATTGACACAAAATTTCAACCCGATCGGAGAAACCGTTAAAAACTACCCCCAAAACAACCTTGCAGACTGGCACATAAAAATACTCTAATCAAGTTAAATTTTGACATTCGCTAGTTTTTCAATACGAGAATTATTGATGCAAAATTTCAGCCCATTCGGAGAAACCCCCAAAAATCACCCCCAAAACAACCTTGCAGACTGGGGCTTAAAAATTCTCCAATCAAGTTAAAACTCGATATTTGCTTATTTCTCAATACGAAGATTGTTGATACAAAATTTCAAGTCGTTTGGAGAAACCCTTAGCAACCACCCTTAAAACAGATTTGCAGACTGGGGATTAAAAGTGCTCCAATCAAGTTAAAACTCGATATTTGCTTATTTCTCAATACGAAGATTGTTAATACAAAATTTTAACCCGTTCGGAGAAACCGTTGAAAACTATCCCTAAAACAACCTTGCAGACTAGGGCTTAAAAATACTCTAATCAATTCAAAATTTGACATTCGCTAGTTTTTCAATACGAGGATTATTGATGCAAAATTTCAGCCCATTCGGAGAAACCCTCAAAAATCATCCCCAAAACAACCTTGCAGACTGGGGGTAAAAAATGCTTCAATCAAATCAAAACTCGATACTTGCTTATTTCTCAATACAAAGATTATTGACACAAAATTTCAACCCGTTGGGAGAAACCGTTAAAAACTACCCCCAAAACAACCTTGCAGACTGGAGCTTAAAAATACTCTGATCAAGTTAAATTTTGACAATCCCTCGTTTTTTAATACGAGGATTATTGATGCAAAATTTCAGCCCATTCGGAGAAACCCTCAAAAATCACCCCTAAAACAACCTTGCAGACTGGGGGTTAAAAATGCTCCAATCTAGTTAAAACTCGATATTTGCTTATTTCTCAATACGAAGATTGTTAATACAAAATTTCAACCTGTTCGGAGAAACCGTTAAAAACTACCCCTAAAACAACCTTGCAGACTAGGGCTTAAAAATACTCTAATCAAGTCAAAATTTGACATTTATTTATTTTTTTATTATTTTATTGTTAATTATTAATTAATTTATTAATATTTAAATTTAAAAAATATATAAATTACGAATATAGGAGTATTTGTTACAGATACGTGAATTGTGATAATTTGAGTTCATGTTTATCGCTGTTAGATAATTGTTGCTACTATGTAAGAATGCATAAGTTCGGCATTTTTTCGTCCAATCTCTCATTTTTTGTGCGTTTTTACACGTCATTTTACTTCCCGAGCGTAAGCAAAGGAAGTATTGTAATCGAGTCCGTCGGCCGACTCTCTACTTTTACGTTTTCTCGATCTTTCATGACCCCTAGAAGACGAAGAAATAGGTCTCCCATTTCCGTCTGTCTGTCCGTCTGTCCGTCTGTCCGTCTGTCCGTCTGTCCGTCTGTCCGTCCGTCTGTCCGTCCGTCTGTCCGTCCGTCTGTCCGTCCGTCTGTCTGTCCGTCTGCCGTCCCGGATTTTTATTAGACAGATAATCTCCGAAAGTACTCGACCGATTGTTGTGAAATTTTGTACTTATATTAAGAATATCATGTAGATGGTAAAACGCTAACCAAAATTTGTCTAATCATCCCCACCACTAATGCGATGACGTCACTTCAAAATTGTACATAGTAAATGGGTTTTCAATTGTATAAAATAACATAGTCCTACACATGTAGTTTACAACTCTGAATCGACTTTTCACCCGAAACGTCCAGATTTTTGGAAAAAAAATCAAAATTATAAAACAACATTTTGAAATTTAATTTTTAATCTGCTAACCAGAATGCTTTGAAATGTTGCAGATGTTTTAAGGCTATAAAGAGCATCATAAATCTTTAGTCAAAAAATATTTGCTTATCCCCTCCAAAAACTTGATGACGTCAGCTCAAAAGTTTGTGGAATAAATCATATCTAAAATGTACAAAATATGATGAGTCTGTACTTGTGATCTATCACTCCATTCATATTTTTTGGATTTGCATATACAGGGTGACTCAAAAAAATTAATGAATGCGTAAATATATTTTATTGATTTAATCAGGAACTACAAAACCGAATGCTCTGACATCTTGCACATGTTTTAAGGTTATAAAGAGCATAATAAATGTTTAGTCAAAATATATTTGCTTATCCCCTCCAAAAACTTGATGACGTCAGCTCGAAAATTTGCCGAATAAATCATATCTAAAATGTACAAAATATGATCAGTCTGTACTTGTGATCTATCACTCCATTCATATTTTTTGGATTTGCATATACAGGGTGATTCAAGAAAATAAATGAAAGCGTAAATTTATTTTACTGATTTACTCAGGAACTACAAAACCGAATGCTTCGAAATCTTGAAGATATTTTAAAATTATCATAAGGATGGTAAATTTGTGATCAAAACGTATTTGGTCGTCCCCCCTAAAAAATTTATGACGTCACCACAAAATTTTGCTGAATAAATCCTATCTAAAATGTACAAAATATGGTGAGTCTCTTCTTGTGATTTATCATTCCATTCAAATTTTTTCGATTTGCATATACAGGGTGACTCAAAAAAAATTAATGAATGCGTAAATTTATTTTATTGATTTAATCAGGAACTACAAAACCGAATGCTTTGAAATCTTGCAGATGTTTTAAGGTTATAAAGAGCATAATAAATTTTTAGTCAAAATATATTTGGTTATCTTCTACAAAAAACTGATGACGTCAGCTCAAAAGTTTGCCGAATAAATCGTATCTAAAATGTACAAAATATGATGAGTCTGTACTTGTGATTTATCATTCCATTCATATTTTTGGATTTGCATATGCAGGCTGACTCAAAAAAATTAATGAAGGCGTGAATTTATTTTATCGATTTAATCAGGAATTACAAAACCGAATGCTTTGAAATCTTGGGAATATTTTAAAGTTATTATAAGCATGGTAAACTTTTGTTCAAAATGTATTTGTTCATCCCTCCTAAAAAAATTGATGACGTCACCCTTAAATTTTGCTAAATAAATCCTATCTAAAATGCAAAAAATATGATGAGTTTGTACTTGTGATTTATCATTCCATTCATATTTTCTAGATTTTCTTAAGAGGTGGTTCAAAAAAATTAATGAAGTCAATTTATTTCATTGATTAAATTAAAGGCAACACTTATTATTAGTATTACACCCCAACCAACCCAATTTGGTAGACACAAAATTTGTTAAAGGAAAAACTCTGTTGAAACATAAGGGTAGCACGCTTATTTACATCGACTTTAACATTACAGACCTGCATTTGTTTTATGCGCTCACTTGGTTCCGCGAATGTGAAATAGACATGTTTATAATCAACCAATTGTGAATTTCACCGTCAAGAATTAAAATAAAACCCAATGTTTTATATAATAAGCGGAAGTCGAAGCAATAAAACCGATGGTCGTTTTGTTTACAGTTTCTCTGTTTGACTCTCACGTATGCTGTTACGCCTGTCATCTTAAATTAAGAATGTTTATACATACACGATTTTCAGTTGCCTCTGATACGTATACGTGAGTAAATTGTTTCGTTATTTTATTGATTATAAGAAATCAATATTCAAAACGACCCAATTCATTTTCCCGAAAATTTGAGAATATAATAATTTTATTCTTAGTATTACACTACATCTATCCCAACTGATATACGTGTCCTTGCAAAATGTTGATGACGTCATCGCATTTTTTTTTTAAATTCCCACTACAAAAATGTAATGAGAAAAAAAACACAATAGGCATGCAGTCGTCAAGTTTCCGACAGCGAGGGAAGTACTGTCTAACTCTTTAGACCAATTTTTTGCTGTTAACTTGGTTCATTCAGTACATACTATATGCTGGTTTTGAGTTCTTTGAGATATAATTAAACCTTCATCATCAGTCAAAAAATACAAGGTTAGTGGTGTCCAGAATAGAAAATTTAAAATTCAGAGGAAACAAAATCTTAGACATTTTAAAGAAAATTAGAGACATTTTTAATTTCCGAGAAACCTAACGTAAAAAAAACGTTTTGAGAGAAAGTTTAAATTAATAATAGGAAGCTCAAACTTAATTTTATTTGAATTTCAAAAAGAACCCAGAAATGTGCTAATTTCTTAATTAATTATTATTAATGGGAAAACAGATAAAGATTCGTTATATTCAATACGACGCAAAACTGTCTTCATATATAATATAATAATATATATAAGTCATCGGTACCAACATCTGGGGTTCCGCAAGGATCTAATTTGGATCCGTTACTATTTTTAATATTTATTAACGATCTGCCTAATTTATTACTAAATCGAAAATTACTATTCGCTGATGACTTAAAGATCTACGCCAAAATCACAAGCGTTGATGATTGTCTTCAACTCCAAGAAGATATCAATATATTAATTAACTGGTGCTTAAGGAATCGACTCACTCTTAATATCCTAAAGTGCATTGTCATGTCTTTCACACGAAAATTAAAACCTATCGTCTTCACGTACACAATGGGAAATTCGAAGCTTAAAAGAACAGATATCTATAAGGATCTCGGTGTCATATACGATATGAAACTTAGCTTTGTGAACCATATACAGGATACTGTTGCAAAAGCATTTAAAACCTATGGATTCATCTATAGGAATTGCAAAGAGTTTACGAACATTCGGTCTTTATCAGCTTTATACTATTCTCTAGTTCGCTCTAGGCTGGAATATTGTGCGTGTGTATGGTCTCCGATTTACGAAATACATATTAATCATGTTGAATCTGTTCAGAGGAAATTTCTGAAGTTTTTAAGCTTTATTGTTGATAGGACATATCCCCCACGTGGCACTGATCATACGTTGTTACTTGAAAGATTTCAGTTCACATCACTTAAAATTCGTAGAATATCATACGGCATTTCGTTTCTGTGGAAACTTTTGAACAATCGTGTAGACTGCACATCGCTTCTACAAAAGATCAACTTTTTAGTCCCCAGAACTCAGCATACTCGTCAAGTTTTTACATTTTATACACACCCCTGCAGAACAAATATTTTATGTAAGTCACCATTGCATGTAATATGCAATAATTTCAACAAAATTGCTTGGAACTGCGACATCCATCATGACGCTATTACAAAAATTAGACACTGCATCGTAACTTATTGGGACAATGGAAGTTAACTTAATTTATCTTTATTAATTTTTTTTTGTTATTTTCTTCTTTTTATTTTTATTTTAAGTAATTTCAACGTGTCATTTAACTAGCATGACTAATGTATATTTTCTGTAATTGGGTTTAATACCTGTAGAAAATAAAGGTTTATTTATATTTATATTTATATTTATTTATATTTATATGTAGGTCTTACAGCCTTTGGATGGTGTCCACGTCCATTTCTCTAACTGTCTGGTAAATTGTTCTTCTTAATTGTTCTTCTAAATTGGCTTCCCAGCCGTTGTTGTAAACCTTTCTACTTAGTATTCCCCAAATTTTGTTTTCGATTGTTCGCCTGGGGGCACTATGGGGGGATTACCTTTTCTTAGGTTCAAAACTTATATTATTGTTTTCTAACCAATCCTTGGACATTCTAGTATAATGGCAACTTGCTAAATTTGGCCAAAATATTACATCGTCGTTACTATGGTGTTCCCATATATTGTTATGTATTGACCGCGTCACCTCTAGTACGGCCAATAAGTTGTGCTGAAACGCCGGCCGGAGATATAGCCCATCAAACCAAAATTTTATCTTCAAACTTAGCATTCGACTTAAATTTTACTTGTAATTTCTTCTATATTGTTTGTATAAAATCCATCGTTACCTTCCATCTCTGAATGGTCAAACGTAAAATATTTTTCATCGCCCAGCACAACCACACGATTGTCCAGAAAATGATGAATTCTCGATAGTCGGCAACATCTAAGAATTCTTTCTAACTGCGATGCTGTATGTTTTGAACATTTAACTCTTTTGCTATATTTTAAGTTGTTTTTGCCTATTTCTCTAGAAACTGTTATATAGGATTTAGAGTTCTCGATCGAGCCAATCTTCTTGTTGATGTTCCAGGCTCTTGTCTTTCTTCTTAATCTTTCTAAACTTATTGTGGTATTGCTACCTCGCAGTCTTTAATTGTTCTGTATATAGTTGCGCGTGTAATATATTTGGTCCAAAATATATTCACAATTTCACTTTTAGATACTTGGGTAACTAACTGGTATATGGCTCTTTGCAACTCTATTTTGTATGACATTGTTTAAGCGTTAATTGACATAAATCTATGACATAAATTGTATAAAACGATGGGAAATAAGGTTGTTTGGTTACGCTGTTGCAAATGTAACTTGATTCGATTGCATTTTAAGTTAAAAAAAAGATAGGAGTATTTGTAAATTTTTCTCAAAACTCTTTTACGTAATAGCGGTGAAAGTGACATAGAATTGGAAAATCTTAGTAAAAATAAAGACGACTACAGTTAAGACTAATCTAGTTGAGTGCATGTATTTAGGGAAATTTTAGTTGTATTGATGAATTAAATTCTTAGATGGAAATAACGATATAGATGCGAAAATTCAAGAAAAAAAATATAGAATTTGAAAATATACATGATTTTAATCTTTCCAATGGCACTACATACCTTATTTATAAACTGTTGACACATGATATACAAATTAACAAAAAAAAAAGAAGACAAACGCAAAATTTAATTTAACTTAACAAAATAACAGAAACAGACCAATTAGGATATTTTCATAATTAAAATAATAAAGGAGGCTGTTGTTGTAAACAGTGTTTTTCATCATTTGATTATAAGTTTGGCAGTTAATAAACGTTTTCACGCGAAAATAATGCCGTTAACTCTTACAGACGTCTCCCAAATTGTCGCTGTGTTTCTGTTATTTTGTTAAATTAAATTTAGTTCTGCGTTTATTTGTCTTCTTTTTTGTTGCTAATTTATACATCATGTGTGAATGGTTCTTTAATAAAATAACGATTACTAGTTAAATTAACAATTTTTAAAGTTTGGTTTTGCGAAATTTTACAGCGTGGTAGGTTTTTTGCCGGTCAGTGTATATGCATTAAAATACAGTTATAAAAGGTAACAAAACAATATTTTTCATAATTAACAATGCATATTAAGATCATTAGGTGATTAATTATTGTAGGAATTAGCTCGGTTTGCGCAAAGGTGGAGATAACACAATGACCGTAGCAACGAATCTTAACCAATTAAAAACTCCAGTAAATTTGCTGGTGCTGCTTTTATATGCTTTCTTATGAAATTATTTTTGTTTTATGCCTAGTATCCCGCAAACGCTTTCGAGCACGCCACTGGAACAACCAGTTTCTCGGAGGACCTGGAAGAATCACTTATGACCCTAGTAGAAAGCGCGGTACCAGGCATTTTTTCAAACAATCTTCCCTCCTCTCATTCTACCTCTATGGTGCGCACCTACTTTAGACATAATGTACTGTCTCTGTGTGTCTATATGTGTCTGAAATTTTTCTGCTACTTGTACTTTAAATGAATGTCAACTGTCAATAATTTTTATAAGTTGCTTCAAGGTGACTAAAATTTGACATGATAATTTTTTGTGTAAACAAGTGGTAACTTTCGACTCAATTGGAGTATTTTTAAGCTCCTGTATGAAAGATTGCTTTGGGGTATTTGTTAAGAGCAGCTTAAAAAAAGCTGTTTTTTTTTGCATTATCACTTCTCGTATAGATAAAAACTAAACACCAAGTTTTGATTTGGTAATAATATTATTAAGGCCCAGTCTTCAATGTTGTTTTGGGGGTAGCTTTTAACGGTTTCTCCAAACGGGTTGAAATTTTGCATCAACAATCTTCGTATTGAGAAATAAGCAAATCTCGAGTTTTGACTTGATTGAAGTATTTTTTACCCCCAGTCTGCAAATCTGTCTAGGGTTAGTTTTTAAGGGTCTTTGCGAACGGGTTAAAATTATGTGCCAACAATCTTCGTATTGAGAAATAAGCAAATGTCGAGTATTGACTTGATTGGAGTATTTTTAATCCCCAGCCTGCAAGGTTGTTTTGGGGGTGATTTTTGAGAGTTTCTTCAAATAGGCTGAGATTTCGTATCGATAATCCCCATATTGATAAACTAACGAATATAAAATTTTGACTTGATTGGAGTATTTTTAAGCCCCAGTCTGCAAGGTTGTTTTGGGGGTAGTTTTCAACGATTTCTCCGAACGGGTTGAAATTTTGTATCAACAATCTTCGTATTGGGAAATAAGCAAATGTCGAGTTTCGACTTGATTGCAGCATTTTTAATCCCCAGTCTGCAAGATAAACTGTGGTCTGCAAATTAGACAGGCCCAATTGAAACACCTTATCTTCCATGGGCTCTAGTACCGTTCAGTAACACTTCTGAGTTTTTAATTTTATGGTAAAAGTTAAATTTATCTAGTTCACAATTTTAAGTTTAATAAACATATTGGTGAATTTTTTGTGTTTCGGGTTTATAACCAGGTTCAACTTATTTCTTTTGTAGGCAAATTTGTCACATTGCAAGACCTTGAGTTGTCAACCCCAGACAAGTCACTACAAAGTGAATTTCAAGACGCAGACTTGGGAAACCAAAAATCAGGAGTGTCAGACCAGAAGAGACAACTACTCTAACGTGCCTAGACCTTTGAACTACTTCTTCGGTTTAAGAGGTCGGAAAGACAATAAACAGTTTATTATTGAGCTCACAAGGCCAGTCGAAGAATAAAAATTATACATATTGGTTATATTGTCATCAAAACTGTGTTTTGTTTTTATTTCATTTAACTCTTGCTGCTAGTAGGTACTCAGAACCTAGTTTATGAAGGGGATGGATGACTAATAGCGGGGTTAGTGACGATTGCAAAAAAATACAGTTCAGTTCGTACGGCAACGTAGCAGCAACAATGAAAAGTAGTTATCGCATAGATTAAATATTGCTCCGAGATCTTGTATGCAAAACTTGCGGCTGTTTTTAGAAAAACATTTTCGGTTTTTCGTTCAAAGTTGGACCACTTATCTTATATGATCAAGATTGACTACCTTGTATTAATTTTTCTTGAAAACCTTTAAAAAAATCCTTTTAAATACTTTGTTTATATTCTATTTTATTAATTGCCTAAAGCCTAACACAAAACAACGGGTTAATGACTACTTTTAGAAATAAAAACCACATAAAAACCAAAATACAATTGTAGGAGGTTTCGAATTTATTGAATAAAAATGAAAGTCGTATGCACATAATAAATTTAGACATGACATATACAGTGCACAAATCACATACGAACAACTACAGTGATTTCATACAAAAAAACCTATTGTAACGTAATAAACTCCAAATGTACTTAACCTAAGATCAGTTCAAAAAATATGCTTAAATATAAAAGAACATAAAAATAATTCTTTAAACTGGATGATGGGTAAATGTGTCTATTCAACATTAAATGTTACCACCTAGCGCTTACAAACATTCAACTACAAAACAACCTATTCGTAACTTTATTTTTGGAAAAATATTGCAAAACTCGGAGAAAGAAGGCGCTAGAAAGATGTCAAAATTTGGGAGTAAACAGGGAGGTTATAATTTAACTAATAAAATGATTCTTCAAGAATTTCATCATACCAAAAGTACGGAAACGTTTAACCCCGATTACTTTGAACAGTGCGTCATCGCAGATGGCATACTGCTTATTTTTAGGGTCATACAGATCGCGCTCTTTTATTATGCCCCAAATTTTCTTCACGACCTCGTGACGGGCCATTGCGTCTTGACCTACCAAAGCTGCTAATTCGGGAGACAAGTTCATGGTTTTTGTGTATCCACTTCCTCCTCGCTTGCCGCCGCCCTGAAACACCCACAACAATACTGACGACCACGATTCAAACAAGAAAAACTTACGCCGCCTCCTTTCTTGCCGCCCTTCTTCTTGCCCCAATCTTCATCAGAGTCTGACTCTGAACCCTTCTTCTTCTTGGGGGGGAGTTTGCGCGTTTTGATTGGCTTGGACTTTTTCGGAGAATACTCTTCCTCGGAATCACCTTCAGATGGTTCGCTGGCACTGGCAGACTCATCTGAGGCTTTCTTTGCTTTCTTGGCAGCGGGTTTCTTCCCTGTGGAGGATCGCTTCTTCTTTTTATCGTCCTCGGACTCTTCCTCCTGCAGAAAGAAGATACACACTCACATACGATATTCCGATACTTTTTTTTAAAGATCTTCCATGTTCTGAATACTATTATTGTTATTAACATGTCATAGCAAGCTTGTCGTTGTCTCTATAGAATATGGTGGTTAGTTAGGAACTTTACAACCAATGGAGCCTCCATAACTCATGTAATAGGCGTAATTGGAATGGTAGGAATTTAAATATTTCAAAATGTAAATCTATTCGTTTTTCTAAGAAAGAACGCGGTTACATGATAATCCATGTTCCTATCCTGACAATGTTACATTAGAAAATGTAAATATTGTTAAGTGACCTTGATATACTGATTCGTTGGGTTTTATTACAACTTATGATTCTACTTCTATCAGACCAATCACTGCTATCGTATCACTAGTTGTATCTATTATTTTAAATTATATTTCTGTATTCATAGCCGAATCGAAAAAAAAAAATCAAAAAAGAATAATTAATATTTATGCTATATGGTTGGATTGCTTCCTTTGCTTTGACTAATTTATTTTTAGGAAGATTATACACAATGTTGTTTTCGACATAAATTGCTGAATGGATAAATCAATTCAGTGAAACTTACAGTCTCTTGTCAACTAATAGACTAACAATATTTTATAATAAAACTTTGCATTTTGAAGCATACTTATCCAACAATCTCTAATGGAATTTTCATCGTTTAGTCGATGTATTCATTATGCAAATTATTATTGTCCATTTGTTAACTTTTTTAATGCACGTTATAGCAATTTTAAGCGCAATTTACAGGCATCGCTGCAAATGTAATGTCTTTTATTCTATATATTCATGTATTTCTCTATTCGAAATGCCTCCTGTTTTAAATAAGCTATTAACTCTTCAACAATGAAATATGTAATTAAACTTTGCCGTCAGAATATAAAATTAAATTACCAACAGGTATCTTTAATCTGCTTGGTTAAATACCAAAGTGCATCTGACTATTTGCATTTTGTACAAAATAATAAAAGTCAGTGCCGAAGAAATCCGAAATACTAACTTATTTTAGCAAGTTTCTTTACGTATATAATTTAATAAGTATGGTTTATAACCATAAAACTATATTAATAATAATTATAATATTAGTAATTAATTTTGGTCTTAACAACTACTTAAAACTATTATCAACATGAACTTAAATTAGGTAAAAAATTTCAGTTATAAACAGCTTGTTGCTACTAGATATTTCCATTTTCAGTCGCTGGTCCATTAAAAAGGTTTAATAAAAAAAAACCCGTTCGCCTAGAAAGTTCAAAACACCTTTTGTATAGATAACCAAGATTCTTTTAAACAGAAATCAAAATTTTATTAAGTTTTTTAGGCTAACACTGGTCTAAAGTTGTCATTCTTGAGTTGATCAGTAAAATAAATTATTTCACTCATTTTTTTAATCACCTACCACCAATTTTAAAACAAAATTTAATTGCACGCAATTTTGCACATTTTAACTAGTAAAATTTTGAGATGACATCATCAAGTTTGGGGGCGGGGATAAACAGACTTATATCATTTACTATGCAAAACTTTCAGATGGTGGAAATTGCTGGTGGGGATGGTCATCAAATTTACATATTCATATAAAACTATCTGCTTAATAAAATCATGAAACATCGAGAAAACATGAATGTGAGTGACCATAAATAAAAGGAAACATTTTTCGGGTCTTAATTACAGTGATTCTGATACTACTAATTGTAACAAAATGTCGGTGGAAATGCAGATTGACAATTAAATTTCGCGCGTTGATTAACATTAGGTTACCGCCAGAAACCGCCGAGTGTTTTCCCGCCCGACGCCGTCGTTATGACAACGCAACGCGTTGCCATGCCGACTCCCCACCTACCTCCTCCTCCTCTTCCTCTTCTTCTTCCTCCTCCTCCTCTTCTTCTGAATCGCCCTTCTTCTTCTTCTTATCCTTGGAACTTACGAACTCCATGACTAAGTCGTCGATTTCCTTCTTGCGCGACTGCAAATTTGCGTCCAATTTTTCTTCCAACTCCTGGCGCACTTTCTTGGCAGATGTCGACGACAAATCGGCGTCTTTCAAGATGGCTGTGACAGAAGCGCATTTTGAATTCGATTGTTTACGAGGCAGTTTCCCGCCACGACTTGCCGGAACAAAGACCGGCGGCGGGCCTGAAGAAGACGCGGGTCGAAACGTCGCCGGGACGGCCGCACGATTTAATCAAAGCCAGATCGCAGCGTTTTGATGGCGAAATAGCGTTATCTGGGCGACAAAAGGCGATCGAGTTGTGGTGACGCCGCGCACATCAGCCGACTAGATCCCGGGAAAAATCCGGATTTAGGGCGAATTCGGGGGAGAAAAGGTCCTACGAAAATCGAAAATAAAATTCTAGAACGATTTTGTTAGTGCCATTTCGTCGGTGGCGACGTATTTTCAGAGATATCCGCGATTTTATGCGCGGCGAAAATGGTCCCTGATGGTATAGCGTCGTGCGGCCATTGTTTATGTGCGAGTTTCAAACAAACACGGTTCGGACAAGAGTAAAAGGCCCGATTTTGCACGTGAACCGACCGAGATCCATTAAGAAAAATTTCGCGGAAAAATTCAACGAGCTTAGTTTTGCGGGTTTCGCGGCGATTTCGTAAAAGATGTAATAAATATTAAGACTTACCGGCGATTTCCTTGCGAAGATCTTCCTTCGTGATGTCTGCCATGATGCTAAAACGAGACGTGACGTTGCGACAGAGACGGAAGAACGAGTGACGATCGCAGTTGGCGAAGAGAGAGCGCTGGCGGCGGGCTGGGATGCCGGGATCACCCCCACCAGTATCGGGGTGCTGAGAAAATGATCCGGTGGCTCTCTTTTCTAGGATTATTGGACAAATCTCGAAGCTAAATGTTATAGGAAATTATAAACAACGACAGCTGTCAATAGTTTCAACGGTTACTGCAGCAACGCTTTTGTTTTTAAAATCGGAGTGTATTTCTGGTTGCCTACGCCGATGTTTTTACTTTGTTGTTTAGTTTTAAATAAATTACAGTTATAAAATAGTAAAAGGGTTTGTGATTACGAACAACTTACCTCGACCATTTTTTTATTGTTTAATTGTAATATGCTCCTAGTTATCAATTAATCTTAAATAAAAATTATTTTGTAACAGTAATACAGAATAATGTTTTTAACAAACTGATAATAATAAAATAACACAAAAATACATTGCTATTCGTAAAGACTTCTATTTGATGAGTATAATAAAGTTGTAACTACTTAAAAATGCTGTAAATACAAATATGAATAGGACCTAGTATTACTACCTCCCACCGTCAGATGGCGCTACAAATTGACATGTGTTTAAAAATTTGTTAAAAATAGCACACATTTAAACAGGTAATGATCCTCGTAGTGAATTGCTATCATTCTACGAACAAAAATATGAATTTCAGAAAAAAGTTAACTTCACAAAAAAGGAAAAGTTTCGACTATGCAATATCCAAGCAGAGACCTTCCTAGACATTAATAGAGAATCTGTAATTGCCAAAATTTTTATTTCGGATTTCTATAGAATAATAATTTGATGAATAATAAATAATAAATAATTTGAATAAGTGAAACATATTTTAAAAATGTATCAGTATTGTACAGGTATACGCGAAATCAACTCATGCGGAAAATGTAAACGTGTTCACCTTGTGCTTGCACTTACGATGTATTGTTGGATGCCTATACCGATTGCTTGGATCGTTTTTACGATGGATGTTCGAAATATACGAATCGATAGATTTTATAATTATTAAAATTAGTCATAATTCAACTAATTTTTGAAAAAATTGTTTTCTTTGTTACATTTTAGCTCGACTTCTCACTCCACTGTCATTGGTTATTTTTCTTTGCAACTGTACACATGACCATTGTAAAAAATTATTGCAAATCTGCTGAAAATGCTTTATTGATATAATTTGTAGAAAATATATTTATAATTATAAATAATAATTATTAATAGGGGTACAATATAATTTTGTACATGTAAAAAGCAAAGGGTACATAACGATAGAAATGTGATTGTAATGGACGTATTTAATGAATGTCATTAATTCATTATTCATTACCCAAGTTTTCCTAGTCTCTTTGTCAAAAACATTTAATATTATACTAATTCAGTTCAATTTTAGTATTAATGCGTCTAATTTTTCTGATCATTATACTTAGTAATATATAGAATTTAAAGCAATTTTATTACTGTTCAGTTTGTCTATAGGAAAAGAATACCTAATCAAAATGTTAGTGTGTACAGTCACAAGTAATAACTTTATATCTTCCCGGAACTCCTCTTATCCACTATTTCTTGCATTTGAAGGAATTAATCTTAGCATGTTCTCAAAGGCCTGTTTCGCGTTTGCTGATTTGCAAGACTTTTGGACCTCTGAACCTTTTTATATTTAGCGGATACAAGAATTCTAAAACTGTTTTTGTGCTCTAAAATACGCTTATAGTCCACTCTCAACACTAAAAATGTTATACAGGATTGTACACGAGTGATAATAAACCCAAAATTTGAAACGCACAGTTTCGGTCACAAAATCTTGGATAGTTCTGTCATTCCATAAGCTCTAAAACAGGCTTTACGTACTTATGACCTCAAACTTGCCATATTTGTCATTTTGACGTAGACTGACATTACTTACTTTCGACGTCATTTTCCTTATGAGGGCACTAGTTAGTTATCTTTGAATGACAGTTTAAATTTGAATTTGATGCAATTGTTGTTTGTATGTAATTTTTGATAATTTTGAAATAATAAAATACGATTAAAACACGTTTAAACAGTGATACAAATTTCACCTACCACTAGTTCCCAACGCAGAAGCAGAGGTTTCCTGCGAGGATAAAAAAAAACACTCCTGGGGAAAATTTGAAAGGTTTGCATTCTTTAACTATTAAAAAATATTTTGCTCTTTCTTCTTAATATACCTCTAGTCTTCTTTTCACAACAAGACACTTAAAACATGTTCACAACGGTAAATTTTTGTAGGAAAATATGTATTTTGTAATTACGCTCCGCCCCTTGGGCTAACGACGAATGAAAATTTCATCACAATTGAGATTGGGACGGGTGGGGCGTGCTTAATCTTTGTTTTTTTTTTCTTCTCAATATACGTATATAGTTTTTTTGTGAACAACACAATAGCTAAGAATGTTTTCAGTTTCTTGTTGGGAAAAAAGACTTCGTGTATTAAGAAAAAATCTACAAAATATAATCCCCGCCCACCCAACCCCTCTCAATTGTGATGATTTTTTTTTTATTCATCGTGAGCCGAGGGCGGAGCTTAGCTGCAAAAACCTCGTTTCTCTACAAGAAATTATCCTGTGAAATATGTATTGTGTTTGCCATTTCTATTGAAACACCACCTGTTGATTTTGTTTAAAATTTAGCAATTGGTAACAGCTTTGGGTTGATTGACAACGGCTTTTAGTTAGAAAATTGTCTGAATATGAACGTTGCCAAATTTATGATTAACAAGTGGTGTTTCAATAGAAATGGCAAAGACTATATGTTCTTGAAAGGGTAAAATTTTGCAAAGAAATATGCATTTAGCAATTAAACTCCACCGCTGGGTCTGCCAACGAATAAAAAAAATCATTTCAACTGATTACATTACAGTCATTAAAATGTGCCAAAATAAGGCAAAACACCGTGTTCAATTTCATCCTCACTATAGCACTTGAAGACTTACGTGACATATGCACTTGTTGGCAACACAAAAATCTTCACAGAAATAATGTTTATATTGAATTATAGACTTTCCTTTAAAAAATAAAATTTTGCTATTTATGGTATAAGTGAATAAAAGTGAATTTTATCCAACGAAAAAACAGTCTAGTACGCGAGGCAAAGCAGAGTGTGATAATGTTTTTGAGTGGATAAAATTCGTTTATTCACGTGTATCATACAAGATTTTTTCCCATTTCGCAAAATTTTTCAAAAAATTTATTGTTTAGGTAATTCATATAGGTACATAAATATTAATTGTACTATTACTAATATGATGAACATTTAAAGAAGGTAAATTGCCTAAGCTGCCTGTACTTTCGTCACGGTCAAATTCAAAGGATGTTCCTGGACTTTCATTAGGATTGTTTTACAGGAGCGTTGCAAATTTTAGTTGAATATCCACACATCCATAGCAACGAAAATTTCAGTGGTAGTGCGAATTTTTAGTTTTTTTACTTTATTCGTGTTGTCAATGACAGTGTGAATAAAGTGTTGCTATAAACATTTTATTCATCCTTTCGATTAAACTATTCTTTTAATAGCGAGATTTAACATACAAAATGAGCATTTTATTAGTAGGAATTGGAAAAAACAATTCTTTTGTTTAAGGCAGAACCATAACGTATTTTAGCGTCCAAATCAGCTGATAATTTAATAGCTATTTAACGAACAAATTTGTTAATAAAGGCGATTAATAATCGAGATATTTTAACGCGCGAGGAACGAGGAACGAATCGCCGATTAACAGTCGAGTTAGTTACAATACTTTTCCGGTGATCGTAATTTAAAAAAAAATACTGGAAATTCAAAATATGAGTTATGCAACCAAACATACAAGTGAAAATTTGTATAAATAAACATTAGTTGGATATGTCCAAATCATGACAGATGCATAAAGTGGATCGAGGCATAGAATACTTTGGCCGCAAGCGTACTATTGAGCCTTTTTGGGAAATTTCGGAGAAGGATGCAAGTAATAGGGATTCCGAATACCTTACAACCAGCTTTCACCTTACAACCAGCTTTCCGGCGCACCAAGCAACAGACTCATCGTAGGTTTTTTGGTAAAGCATTTTGCTTCTTTCTGGAAGTAAATTTAGTGACCCCACATTTGCGTTTTCTATTTCCGGAAGAGTTAAAGAATCCATTTATATGCAATTTCCCATTTTGAATCTTGATTTTGGAAATTTTTGACATTTAGAAATATGACATTTCACGCAAGGACGTGTATATCTGGTTGTCTAAAATTATGCATTAATAGCCCTTATCAATGAACGATTTTCGTACATAAATCATGCATTAATCTCCTCATTAATAAACGATCACCGAAAAAAAAATATTATTGCCAAGTGAGGAGAAATGCTTATTTTCTAACTATTCTACACTTTTTACATGGTTGATGCAATTTCACGATATTTCTGGGAGAAATCGTCTCAACTTTAGCTCTTAGATGTTAATTCTACAACTTTTGGAGAACTTTCAGGATGATCATTACACTTTCTAACTTCCCGTTTTCGTTGACTCCAAATTAATTCAATAGGATTAAAGATACGAAAGTAAAGTGGTAACCTCAAAATTTGAAATCCATGACTTTTGGGCAACTCGTCTACCGCATATGTTTTGGAAAAATTGTGTTTAGAAACGATTCCTCAAAGGTCGCTTTTCGTTTTAGCCGATTCCGGAATATCCACGTTTTTATTTCTAATAAAACGAACAATGTCAGCTTTTCTGGTTGACAAATTTGGATTTTTTTCCGCGAGTCGCGAATGTGAGGAGGCATTGTCCATTACAATGATTGAGCCTTCCCGTAAATTTGGGAAAAGTTGGTGCTCCATTCATTCTTCAAAGAAAGCGGCTGACATATCTTCATGATAGTCGACGTTACAGTCTTTAATATTTTTTGCAGAAATTAAAAGTCCATTTTTTAGACCTTCAATTTAATATGGTGAGTGTTTTTTGAAAAATTACAACAAAGGGGGGCACTCACGACGTCACGACACTTACACCTCGATACAAA